TGATAAATATATAGAATGAACTGAATAAAAACCTAAGACTTTGATGGTTGGACGGTGAGTAGTCGAAGATGATGAAGTTTTTTTTTTTACCTTTTTTATTAATCGTAAAATCGTAATAAATAATAAAATTAAATTAAATAAATTTATATTAAACTAACATAAATTAATTGTTCCATATTTTTTATGGCGATGCAAACAGTAAAGCTAGTTTGGAGGTTTAAAGTATTTGTAAAATTATGTTGGTAGTTTATAGTGTTAGTGGAATTCTTTTAAGGTTTAGAATGTTACTAGGTAACACTTCAAAGGTTGTAAGATGAAAAAAAAAGGAAAATCGTTCCAACCTGCTCTCTTCTCTCTCCTCTCTGCAGACACAAAGTAGATGTAAGGTTTTTATTTTTCTAGCTTTTAGATCTTAATTAAAGGGTTGGAGTCTTCATGATTGTGATCCACGAGTGCGTAGGGTTGCTTCATCGTCAGCTGTGGTGAGGTTTTTCGTCGCCGATGTAGACACATCACTGGTTTGACGGAGGAGGAGTTTCGCAGTCGTGATTCCCGGTTGAGGACGCCGTGGAGGGCTCTGAAGTTCCTCAAGGCTCAGCCGTTCTTCCTTTGCGGTGTCTATGGCGAAAGTTGGTGACGTTACGGTGGGTTTAGCTGTGTGATGCGGTGGTTAGCGGCAGTTCCGCCGGTTCTGCTTGGCTTGCATGCATTTTGTCTTCAGAGGCTCTAGGAGAGCCACCAACCTCTGGATCCGCCACGGTTGGTGTCCACCGGTCCGGTAGAAGTCTCCCTACGCTGTCAAATCAGAGAGATTTGGAAACGGAAGAATGGGGATAGACCTCAGTGGGTTGGGTTGCTAGGTCGGGATCCGACTACGGTAGAACCGTCTGTCGAGGTGACTAGCTTTCCGGGAAGTTTCTGGCAGATATGCGGTGGGGGCGGAAAGAGATTACCGTCGGAAACCGAACTCTTCCGGTGGTGGTCTTCGATCTGTCGAGGCAGCGGAGAAGTTAGGGAACCTTGAGTCCGCCGGATTTAAGGCTCCGGTCATTTTGCAGACGACCATCAGCAAGGTCCGAGCTGCTTTTCCGTTTTCAGTTATTTTTTCCAGTTTTGATTTTTTGTAACTGGGTTTCAATTTGTAAGGCAAAAGCCCAGCCCCTTTGGATAGATTAATAATATATTTTAATTAAAATAAATATGATTTTTCCGAATTTAATATCTACTGTCTAAGCATTTAGATGATTTTAGTAAGGGTTGAGTTTTAACGAAGCTCATACCATCGATGTGGGTTTAAAATTTAATGTTTATGATTTAAAATTATTAGGGTTTAGATTTTTACTGGGGAGGTTCAAGCCTCAACAAGGTTTAAGATGACGGTTTGAGCTAATATTTTAATGTTTATTAGATTTTATCTTACGGTATACTGCATGTCGATTATTTTATAACTAAAAGATTTAAATTTTAAGTTGCTTTTTATATGTTTTTAAGAAAGGTGAGGGTTTTTCTATCCATTTTTCGATGGATATTGATGGAAAATTTGGATGCGATAGTACATGGAGGACATAAAATAGAAGAATATCATAAGCACTTGAATTGTAATAAGTCTTCCAAATTGATTATCATAAATAAAAATGTTTAGAAAGTCTGTCCAAGTTTTTGGTTTTTTTTTTTGTGCAAACGAAAGTCTGTCCAACCTACTGACCTAGTTTGAAAAAAAAGACTGATTTTTTTTTTGTGCAAACGTGAATCATGTGACGTGTCTAAATTCTTGACGAAGGAAAAAGTCTTTGTTATCCCTTAATAGGAGTGGGTACAAAACGAGTATTTACTTTTTTAGGGATACTTGTTACTTGCTTCGTTTTCGTTTTGTACGAGTAATAAAAATTAGTATTAATACTTGGCTTGTTAAAAACGAGTATTTATAATTTTCAATATTTGCTAAAAAATTAGTGACTTCCAAGTTACTAATTTTAACCTTTTTTTACATGTTTCAATTTTATTTTGCTTTTGACGTAATTTTTAAATATGTTTTTAAAACTAATATACTATAAAATATATGTATATAAAATAATAAAATAATAACGAGTATCGGATCAAACAAACCGAGTATTATTTTTTTTAACTACTTGTTCATTGATTTGTACTTTTAAATATCTAAATTATATTACTTAGTATTTGTCTTGACAACAACAAATATTTTTTTTTTCAAGACGAGTACGGATAAATAACAGGTATAGAACGAGTAACAAGTAATCATCCCCGGCCCTATCTCCTGACCTTGTATCCAAAAATCTCCCGGACATCCACGAAACAGAAGGGGCAATTTCGTCATCTCAATCAAAAGCCACTGCTGCTAAAGCTTCACGGTCCACGAACTCTCTCTGGGAGAAAAGCTTCACGGTTCTTTTTTTTGGATTCTCTGCTCTGTTCTCTTATAAACCCTTTTCCCTCTCTCTCAATCTTCTCTTTCTCATTCGAAACCTTGAAGTGTGAGATGGCCTTTGAGTTACCAAACGATTTCAAGTGCCCGATCTCCCTTGAGATTATGTCCGACCCGGTTATCCTCCAATCGGGTCATACTTTCGATCGGGTCTCTATCCAACAATGGATTGACTCCGGCAATCGAACTTGTCCAATCACCAAGCTCCCTTTATCTGAAAACCCTTCTCTGATTCCTAATCACGCACTTCGTAGCTTAATTTCAAATTTTGCCCATGTGAGTCCTAAGGAATCATCACGTCCTCGGACTCAACAAGAACACTCTCAGTCTCAATCCCAAGCTTTAATCTCCACTCTCATCTCTCGATCGTCGTCTAATGCATCAAAGCTCGAGTCTTTGAGTCGACTCGTTCGTCTCACGAAGCGAGACTCGTCAATCAGGAGGAAAGTTACTGAGTCAGGTGCGGTTCGTGCGGCTCTGGATTGTGTTGACTCGTGTAATCAGGTTTTACAAGAAAAGTCTCTGTCTTTGCTTTTGAATCTTAGTTTAGAAGATGATAACAAAGTGGGTTTAGTTGCTGATGGAGTGATAAGACGGATTGTTGCTGTTTTACGTGTCGGGTCACCGGATTGCAAAGCGATTGCTGCTACTCTGTTAACGAGTTTAGCTGTTGTGGAAGTGAACAAAGCCACTATTGGATCGTATCCTGATGCAATCTCTGCTCTTGTTTCTCTTCTACGGGTAGGGAATGATAGGGAGAGAAAGGAATCAGCGACAGCTCTTTACGCGCTCTGCTCGTTTCCGGATAATCGAAAACGGGTTGTGGATTGTGGGTCAGTGCCTATATTGGTTGAAGCAGCTGATTTAGGGCTAGAGAGAGCAGTGGAAGTGTTGGGACTTTTGGTTAAGTGTAGAGGAGGAAGAGAAGAAATGAGCAAAGTAAGTGGCTTTGTTGAGGTTTTGGTTAACGTTTTGAGGAATGGGAGTTTGAAAGGGATTCAGTATTCTCTGTTTATCCTCAATTGCTTGTGTTGTTGTAGCCGAGAAATCGTCGATGAGGTTAAGAGAGAAGGAGTTGTAGAGATATGCTTTGGTTTGGAGGATAATGAGAGTGAGAAAATCAGAAGGAATGCTACTATCTTAGTTCATACTTTACTTGGGATTCCAATGAATTCATGATCTTGGGAGTGTGATTTGGTGCTGAAAATGGAAGTTATAAGGATCGGGTTTTTGTCTTTGGTGGCGGTTTTGGGGATGATAGTTGTTCTGGTTTTGTTTACCTTGTCTGGATATGGAGGTAAGTTTGGGTTTATCTGTGTTGGATTTTCCACTTGTGTAGTTCATGTACAAAAGAAAGGAAGAACAAAACAAAGGCTTAAGTTTTCAACAAAGCAAATGCAAATGCTTTTTTGGTTTTCTCTGTACATTATAGTAATAAAAGGATCATACATATAAGTTTTCTTCAAATGTTTCAAAAAGGTCATCATCAAGAGAATTGTAATCGTTTTCATTTCCAAAGCATTAGTCCCTTCTCTATTGAATCTTAACCCTTTGTTGCAAGTATTCTTTAAACAGTCGAGTTCAGGTACGCGTAATTTCTCATCCGCGGAATCATCTCAAATCGTCAAGCCTAACATTTGTTCCCATGATTTCACATAAAGAAGCTCTAGTGATAGCACTTTGTTTGGTTCATTCAATATTTACTGTTTACTAGTTGAATCACTGTGTTGGTATATGCAAAAACAGTAAGAATCATTGTTACTTCAAGTCAAATATTTTGAGAATTTTGATTGATCTATTTGGTTGAAACATTCATGGATTGAAGAAAATAATATTCCCGGATCTTTTTTTGCTTTATTCTCCTAAGAACTGTGATGATTCCATAAGACAAACCTGTCTTTTTACTACAATAGTCACTGGGACAAACCAGTCACTGTTCTTTATGATTCCATGTCTACTCAATTTAGTTTTTTGTTTTAAATTCAATTGTGGCGTGCTCGTAACAAAAGCACATGGTCTCTGTTGAATTCTCTCCACAATGATTTAATTTCCTCAAAAAAAGATGGGTTATTTGATTTTTTTTAACTCGTGCTTTTTTTCTTGAAAATAGTGCTGAAAGATTACTGCTTTATGTTTCTTATTCAATCATATGCCTTGATTTGAGGACACACAAACAAAACAAAACAGAGTCGTGTCCTTTGAGTACTATAGAAAGGAACTGCTTTATTAAAGTGATTGTTTTTCTGATTAAAGATCTCCTTAATGGAAGTATTAATTACCTAATTTATAGTTGACAAAAGAAATCATCTAATTTGTCTTCCTAATCTTTTTTAAAAATCCACAAATATTCTATACCTTTGTAGGATTCTGACTGTGAGTGGTATAATTACAGAGTGTGGAAATTAAATTATTTGTAGTGGAATCACACGATATTTTAAAACTAAGATCATGATTTTTTTTGTCTATAATATGACAGAATAAGTGAACATATTCCATAAAATAGTGTTGATTGGTAAAACAGCCAAAAAAAAAATGCAAATTTGTAGGAAGTAACGAAACGAGACATCACATTTTATAAACAAAACCAACATCAGACTTTACAGTTCATAGAACAAAACTAATCTATGAGTTCATGTGTAATGTTATATTTTTGCTTCATTAAAACAGTCTAATTCCAGAAACTAGATGCGTCCAAATGTTGTGGAGGAGTGGAGAAAGTACTTGAGATCGGCATCAGACAAAGACCACGGCTTGGAAGATCTAGTCTTGGACTACAATCTTGATTATGAGTATTATTGCTTGATTTGTCTGACCACTAGAATTGAAAGAATCTTATTATGATCATAAGCAAAAGAACAAAAATCAAACTACTTGATCGATTTTAGATTATAGAGTTGTTTAACCGTAAACTAACTTAAGTACCTGCTTCTGATCACCAGATCCTTTAGAGTTCAGGTATGGACTACTCGAGACCTTTTCCTATATAAATTAATTATAAAATAAGAATTAATTTATATAACAGTTAGCTAAAACCAACAATTAGTAATTTAATTAGTAGTATTTTATATATGTGAGATTATCAACTTACAGTGATTTGTTCTTGTAGAAACTTGATGTAATCTATAGCATCATGGAGGACAGAAGCAGTGTCTGTCTGCGGAAATCATCACAAAATAATAATAAATAAATTTGAAAACGGAAGTAACTAAAAAATTTCCTAATTAAGTATGGCTGATATTTAGTTGAGATATTAATATAACAGATCATGATAAACACAAACCTTGCCAAAGGGTGAAACTAACTGTTGAAGCGCGGTGATTCTATCTCCGAGTTTCTCTTTACGAACCTTATCAATCAAAATAGTTTTTCGGAAGAAATTTAGAAATAGTTTGTGCATGGGTATATGTTTTTTGCATAACTAAAATTGTAAGCGACAATCTCTGAAAAGTGAAGTAAGATCTTTTGTTACTAACTTTGAAGCTCGGAAAGTGAGATGGTGTCTCAAGTCTTGACCTTTTTAATGGCTGTGATGACTCAATATCTTCGTGTTCTTCAGTTTTCTCACTTGCTCTCTAAAAATAATTGGTCACAACGTCAAAATCTAAATATTGTAAAAACATCTGTGATAAAAGAAACTAAATAGATTTACGTACCTTGCAAGTAATCAGACTCTTGCAGGCTTGCATGTCGTCCTTGGGTTTGTCGTGATCAAAGACTGATATCATTCTTGATTCGTTCGAGAAAACGTCATCAAAGAAGTGAAAGCTTTCGAATAGTTCTGGTTTGGGACAGTTAGGAACCAATAATTGCTCATTAGAATCAAACAATCCTTCTAGAAAACTATTTATCTGATTGTATCGTTCTTCTTCATGGCTGGAAAAAAAACAAAAAGAAAAAAGGTCAGGAACTCATGATTTTACGTACGTCACATAGATATAAATGGACTTACATGTTAGATTGACTCGAAACGTAGATTTGTGAGGTGGTATCAAGATTTGTATTGCCTAAGAATGTGGAAGTATCAAGATAGTTCTCATTGTAGGTTTTAGCATCAAGGGTATCAATGTTTTGCCATTCAAATCCACCGAGATCGACGACAATCTCCGCGGAACGTGGCAGAGAACAGCCGGAGAACACGCCGTTGGAGGAGCTCCACCATGTTCCGGTACAAACTCCCGTAGTGTCGAATTCTTCCGTCATGTCTCGTTGGTTAGACTATGGTTTAATTAGGTTTGTGTCTACTAATTCTTCGTAAGCGCCGGAGTTTGCATGAGACAATAATGAATTAATGATGTTGATGATGGGGTTTGTATTTATATGTGGCTATGAGGTTTAAGTCAACAACAAAAGTTATGATTAATTTTATCTTTAAAAGAAGTTACAAGAGTTTTATATGTTATCGGTACTTCCCTAACTAATCTATTAGTCATTTGATCACTAGGGAACAAATATAATGTATGTTTATCAAAGTAGTCGATATGAAGTTAGGTCATAAACAAATTAAGTAATTAAAAGATGACAATTTTTACCAACGTACGTAAAATGTAAATTTTAGTTTTGATTTGGAAATTAAATAACAACCCAAGACAATACTACATGTCAGTTTGTGACCCTATCTTTCTTAAACATTATAAACCAAAGTTAATTTCTTACTATTATCATTACTATTGTTACTCTTTGATGTGAGATGGTAATACTATAAATTACAAGTATTAGCTAATAATTTAGTTGGAGGTATTTGAAACTAAAATGTTTGATAAATGTTGAACTATTAATCTAAGGGGAAATACAAAAGGTAATAAAATTTGATTTAAAGAAAAAAAAAAGTATATTTAAATTTTAATAACTCATCGTACGGGTATGGAATTTATTTTACTTGCAAACCTTATGGAAATGCATCCGTTATTAACTACTGTTTTGGGGGTTTACTGATTAAAATAATTAAATAATTTCATTTTTTTGTAAACAACAAAAATGACGTCACCGTTAATCCGTTATCTATGTCAATATAGAAATCATAATTTTGTCGTCCAAATAATTATATTCATTTTTGGGATGTTCGATGAATACGTACAAGAAAAAAGAAAGTCAGCGTTACCAAATCCATCGCAAAACGGCAAAAGGGTAGTTGTTGGCTGGCCTCGTATACGACCAGTCGACCACACTTTATACGGACGTCTTTTGTGTAAACAGGTACATGAGCATATCAAAGCCACGTGTCACTCTTTTTTCATACAAATTTTTATGCCTAACTGACCACAAAAATATAAATTGATATCTAATTTTGACCAATATCTATGTGAAAATAAGTAGTTAAGACGTATATGCATTCACCAAAGAATGGAGACTTTTTCGATTACAATTTTTATTTGGTAAAGGAACACGATTAAAATGAATTGTTGATATTCCGATATGATCACTAACAAACAAATATGTACATGGTTTAAGTCACACCGTCCCCTCCGATTCCATTTGGGTTATTTTAGGTTTTAAATTTAGAAAGATTCCCAAAATATATGCTCACGTCATATGGTTTGACTAAACAAATGTTTCTTAATATTTTCAGTCAATACAGATTTATTAACATTTGTAGACTTCTAGTGACTTAGGTTACACACCAACTTCAATATAAAGAATTAAACCAACTAAATTATTAATTAATCAACCTTCACTGGTTTTTTTGTCTTTATACTAATCAAATTTAACTTTTTTTCATACGATTTGAGTTCAACAGAATTTTAAGACCAACATTCTTAAGACTACATAGAGATTGTTGACTTGAGAAAACGGTCCATCGTGTTATTTTCATTCCATAATCGAAAGTGGAAACTATGAATTATTTTACATTGTTAATTAATATTTCGTGGAGTGGGAAAAGTCAGAGATGATAACCATATATTATTATTTTTCTAAAATGTTAGTTAAAAGGGTAGGCAAAATGTCTTTTGATTTTAGCTCTATCGAATATTTTGATTTTGAAACAAAAATCTTATTAGGTTCCAACTTCCAACCTTACACAAATAACATCACTAAGAGAATAGTAGAAACTAAATGGGCTCAACTTAAGAATTAGCCCATTTAAGAGCTAATTCATTCAAAGCCCATTTATGATAAAACCCTATTAGTAGGTTCACCCGCGTCGGATTCGGGTCGTGCCGGGTCGGATCCTAGAGATATTATCAAACAGAGGATCATGAGCATTTTGTAGAAAAATATATGGAGACAAGAAGAAGCTCAATGGCTTGTAACACATACTCTGTTTCATCTGAACCAAAATCATATTTAAAATGGAACAACAATGTATTAAAATCAATGGAAATCTTATTAGTGCCAGAAATTTCCAAGATGTATGTATACTTATGGATTGCTTCTCATAACTTCCAAAAGAAAATCTTTTGTCTCTTCAACATCACAGAGTTCCTGATGTATCTGAACAGATGAACAAATAAGAATGGCTCCACTTGAAGTTGTTAGACTAATGTCGATAATCTCGAATCCGAGAAATCTCATAACTTCCATGAATTTAGAAAAGATCCCAGCTTTCTTCTCTGTTATGATCTTTAACCAAAACTTCATCTCCCCAGTCTTACACAATTGCACATTCTCCTATCCAAGAATAAACAAAATAATCAAGAAAGATAAAGAAAATGAATCAAGAATCGATTAGAGAATTTAAGAACCTCGATTCCAAGTTTCTTCATCTCTTCTTTAAGATCACTAGTTTCAACTTCAGGTTTAATAATCTGATCCGTTTGTTCTTCATCAGTCTCAGGAGGAGCTTCTTCCATTTCATGAAATGTCTCTAAGAGATTCTTAACATTATTTTGAAGCTCTCCTATGTAAGTAATCGCATCTTCAACAATACTTGCTTTAGTCATCTGAAAACAAGAAAAACAAAAAAAACAACAATCATCACCAAATTTCACACAAACACATAAAACAAAAATAGAGATTTCGGATTTACATTAGTGACAATTGGGACATGAGATCGCAGAGCCATAAGACGACCATGTAGCTTCTCTCTTCTACGTCTCTCTGCTTCAAGATTTGGAGATTTGAAGTTTTCATCTTCTTCTTTCTGTTTTGTTACTTGTTTCCTACGACTCATCCTCACTGGTTCTTGAAATCTGCTTCCTCCACCCATTTAGTTTTATTCTCTATGATAATATTTCAGACAAAAGATATTTTATTTTTTCTTGTTTATGTTATGGTGGTAAAAGACATGAGTTATATAGTTGCTTCTCATGTAGATAGAAGTCTGTTAGTGGAGAGAGAAGAAATGAGAGAATCTTAGTCTCAGTTTGTTATTAGGGAATGTGATTTCAGTTAGAGTCAAACACAGAGAATGAAATTACAATTTTTATTATATGTTTTTGTTTTCATTATATAGAAAAAATGTTATTAAAAAAAACAATTTATGACGATTTATGGAATCTTCTTATTCAAGGGTTCAATACACGAGTCCTTACAGACAAAGGAATGGTAACATTTCGAGTCCCATCAGTCCAAGTGAAACTACCAAAGATAAAACCAGTGTTACTCTTATGACTTGACGAAACCCTAACTTTAAACTCAAGTTTCTTCGTGTTCGAACAGAACACCAGAGTCTCCGGTTCGACAACAATCGTTACACCTCGCGGAGGCTCGACCACGGCTCTGTAAACTGAATCCACAGGTCCAACGTTAGTCACTGTTCTTGTGACGGTCACTTCTTCTTCAAGGTCGGGAATTGTGATGGCCGGGTAGTTAAGATCGAGGATAGACGGTAACGGAGATGAGCATTTCGTGGGTTTTCCGGTGATTAGAGTGATTGCTGTATCGTTGTAACCAGTGACGCAGAAATAGTGAATGTAATCATCGAGGTTCATGTCATAAACTAGTCCTGGATCTTTGGCTCTTTCCACGTTCACGAGTCCTGCACCGTAGTCAAATGGATCAGCCAGTTTCCGTGGTTCTCCCTCCGCAAAGATTGGTTCTCCGGATGGATCAGTCTTCCATGCTGTAATAACAACAGAAAAAACTCTGTAAGATTAGATTAACGAATGGTGATTTTCTGGTGAGGAGAAAGTGGTTTTCGATTTCAAGAACCTGTAGTCATAATGGCGGATTTTAGCGCGGCAGGAGACCAGTCAGGGTGTAAAGCTTTGAGTAGTACAACGAGACCCGCAACAACGGGAGTGGCATAGGATGTCCCTGTGCCTAGAAAATAACCACCGAAAGAACCGGGGCTGTCTTCAGCTGTAGCTCCTAAAATCGTCACACCGGGGGCTGCTATATCAGGCTGCATCATTTATTAAATTTTTTTCCAGAAGCCCAAAGAAATTTCCATCATTAAGAGAAATCCTTGGAAATAACAGACAAGATTTTGAAACATTGTTTAAGGAAAGAACCTTGAGAATGGCTGGAGAGATTGGATTAGGCCCTCTAGATGAGAATCCGCAAACTTGAGTCGCAATAGGACGTCCTACGAGCGTTTTACCAGTACTAATTTTAACCGTGGGAGAACTGAAGAGACCGCAAGCCATAAGAAAATGATCAGTTTTACATACTATGTGACTCGGAAGGATCAATCACTAAAAATATAAAATAAAGGATATATACCTTGACGAGTGGATGTATCGTAGAATCTTAGCTCCGACTTCATAGTCTACGTAGATGAATGGTTGACTATAGACAATATCACTTTGATGATCACCACTTCGTGCCACGATCAGCCCCACCGCATTGTTGGTAGTTGTAGCCGCCAATGCGCTTGTCATTTCCCAATCTTCTTTCACAAACGTCAGGACAACTTTTCCCGGCACGCTAGAGATGTCGTTTTTATAGTCTTCAATGTAAACTAAACCAGCAGATACTTCCTTACCTGTATGTTGAGCTTGACCCTGGAACAGTTTTAAGGGAAAATAGTAAGTTTCCAAGACTATTGAAACCCGGTGAAAAGAACTGAAAAAACATTTTACCTACCATTATGGTAATGTTATTTCCAAAAGTCATGTCTGCATAAAAGGTACGGTCTACGTTAGTTGCAGCGACTGTGAGAAGCCATGGAGCGCCATTAGCCACAGTGTAAGCATCAGGGCCTGTATTAGAACCACCAGCTATAACCGGAATGCCCTTTGTCACCGCATGGAACGATCCAAGCTCCAAATCTTCCGTAATAGCGTCAATTGGGCGAAAAGGAGCCACAGAGGCTAGAGAAATCGACAATACATCAACGCCATCATTTATGGCCTCATCAAATGCCTTGACCATATTCGCAGTGGTTGAACCCATAGTAACACTATCCCAGGCAACTTTGTACATAGCTATACGAGCCTTTGGAGCACCGCCTCTCATGAGACCAGGTGCAAGACCACCATATGACGCGTTAGGCACGAATGAAGAGGCTGCAATTGAAGAGACCATCGTCCCATGTCCAATCAAACCTCTAGGGGACATAAATTCGTCCTCGGTGATTGGGTTCCCAGGATTTTTCTCATCCCAGTCATCAGTGAAGTACTTTGCTCCTACTAACTTCTTGTTGCAATGCTTTGCTGGGTCAAAACCCTCTCCGGCTACACACTTCCCCTTCCAATGTTTCGGTATCGGTCCAAGCCCTTCGTCATTAAAAGCCGGAGACTCTGGCCATACTCCTGAGTCAAGAAAACCAATGACAAGATCACTTCCCATGTTGCTCTCATGGAGAATTCCTGAGGGAAAACTTGGCGGAAGACCCAAATAATCATAAACCCTCGTGCTCTGCAACTGAACTTTTCGATTTGGTGTGACACTGAAAACATCAGGACGGTCTGGACATGACATGAAACAAACCCATCCAAAAACCAGTAAATGTGTCAGAAGATGTGTACAACAAGGCTTCACAGAAGCTCTTGAGTTACTTGTTTCATATAGTCAAAAACAAACCTGAAAGTTGCTTAGCTTGTGAGTCTGTAAGCCTGGCTGCAAACCCGGAAAATCCATGGTGATAGTTGTAGACGATGGAATCTCGAGCAGCTTCCTCGCTTCATCATCAATTCAAAATAATTAGCTCGAAAACCATGAGACGTCATCATCTTCATTAAAATCAGAAAAGAAATCAAGAACTCGGTTTTTATCCTATACCTTTCAAAAACCGATTCCAACATCCTCTGGTGTGATTCAGAGACCAACTCAGAATCATCATGTTGCCTCACGCCTAAATGCACTATATAAATCTACCTCAATCAGAAACAAAAAGAAAACATTCATCAGTCACACAATTTGACTAACCATAACACAACAAGGACGAAACATAAGAACAAACCAAGAAACCATTATTACAGACCTTTCTCTCTTCATTGCTGGTTTCTTGAGCAAAAACGCAAAACCCAAGATTTAGAATGAACAAGAATCCAATAAAGAGACAAGCTTTGGGACTTCCCTTCACAATTCCCATATTCTTTGGGAAGAATTGTTTTTTTCCTTATTGGTTTAACCCTTAAAAGTCTGGATTTTTATGCATAAAATAGTCTTCCAAAAACTTACACAACAACAAATAGACATGAATAGCTTAGCAGGTAGTTGCTCACAATTAACAATCACCAACAATAATTTAAAAAAAAAAGAATTAACCAAACGAACAAACCAAATGTCCAAATAGATTTAAACGAGACAAATCCATTTTCGCCTTAAGACAGTTTTATCAGTTTTACAAGTCGTTCCTGTTAATTTGGCGCTGTTACTGGATACAGCTCTTCACCAAAAATTTCATCTCTATCATTTTATTTATTTTGCAATTCATTTATGGGATAAGATTATAATGACATACGATGAATTTAGAGAAACAAATTTTGTTAGAAATCAAATTAGAATGAGTAGGAACTAGCAATTACACAATTAGGGTTTATTTACTACGAACTATGAAGAAGATCTCAAATTAGGTTAGGTTCGCAATTATTTCGATCAAAAAAGGAATGTAGAAAAAAAAAAAGAGAGGATAGAGAGAAGCTTAGGTTAATAATGATCGACGAGGAAGACGAATTAGCAGCATTTGCAGTATCTCTTTCGTGTCGATGGCTTTTTCATCAATTCGCAGTAGGCTTCTTCAATTTTAAAAAATTGAGTAGGAAAATGAAAATAAAGAAGTGGAAAATTATTCTGCTAAGTTTGGATTCTGTTTGCAAATGACATTTCCTGCTAAGTTTGGATTCTGTTTGCAAATGACGTTTTGAATTTTGAGAAAATTCATTTTAAGAAATTAACCATATGCTACTGTTACATAGATCAATACATTAATAGTATTGTGATAACAATAGTTGTTATAAATACATTGTTTAGGAAACATTTCAATCATAAGCGTGGATCCAATCACTCGAGAGTTAATTTTCAATGTAGTAAACCGCTCCCCCGATTGTAAGATTTTTTAGTTTTCCTCTCCAACAAATGGATTCGATGAAAAACATCAACATTTTCAATTATCGGGTTTAAACTTTAAACAATTTACAGGAACAAATTGTCGATGAAACGTGTCCTCAGAGAGATTGGGATTGTGACATTGTGAAATCCATCACTCCAAGTCAAACTCCCAAAGAAAAACGCAGTGTTCACTCTATGTGAGCCTGGAGACACTCTCACCTTAAACGCAACCTTGTTTCTTCTTTTGTTAAACTTTAACTTCTTCGGCGAAACCACAACCTTGAATCCTAATGGGGTCTCGATCACAGGCTTATAAACCGACTTGACAGGTCCAACGTTTGTCACGCTTCGGGTCACTGTGACGTTTCTTTTGAGGTCTGGAATGGTAATTGACGGTACATTGAGGTCAAGAATCGACGAACCTGAGCTCGGGCACTTACTAGTGACGTTTCCGGTTAGAGCAGAAACCTTCTTGTCTGTGTAAAGTGCTTGTGAACATAAGTAATGTATGTAATCATTGATATCCATGTCATATACAAGACCAGGGATCTGTGGCTTTCTCTAGATTCACAAGACCTCCTCCGTAATCGAATGCATCGGCTTCCTTATAGTTACCTCCATCTACAGTCAGACGCTCGCCGTATGGATCAGTTTTCATGGCTGAAAGACATAGAGTTTGTGTTTAAATGCAGAGTTTCTTATTGAGAAAAGAGTTTTAAAGAGACATAAATTAAACTAAACCTGTTGTGACAAGAGCTGATTTGATTGCAGCAGGAGACCAATTAGGATGCGAAATCTTGAGGAGTGCTACTATTCCTGCAATTACCGGAGTTGCCATTGATGTTCCTGAGTAAGTGAATTCGCTGGTGTCTTCGTCTGTTGGTATTCTAGGTGTTAGCAAGGTCACACCCGGAGCTGCTATATCCGGCTGCATTACACAGAAAATACAAAGAAGTTAGTTGAAGAATAAAACCTACATTTAGTGATCCGAATAAGAGCTGAAGGAAACAAAACCTTAAGAATGGCAGGTGAAAATGAACTAGGCCCTCTTGCCGATGACTTTGCGACTTTACTTGCTACTCTTTCGCCAATTATTGTCTTGTATGGGCTTATCTTAATTTTTAGTGAGCTGCAAGAAACAACAATTCAGATTCTCATATGTAAGAAGATGAGATATTAGTTTGACCGAGCAAAGTTTGTGAAGATAAATAACCTCGTAGTTTGGGATGTAGGTATATAGCTCAGATCCAACTTCCAAATCCACGTAGATACATGGAAAGTTAGCGGGACATTCAACTCTACTATCACTCGGACTTCTCACATCAATTAGACCGATACCACCGTTTTCCTGAACAATATCCGGTGTCATCGGAGGCGTGGGACCCATCGAGAAGTGCATTATAACTTTACCCTTTGTAATTTGATCAAGATTACTATGATCAGCAGTACAAATCAGATCAGTGAAGCTAATTTCTGGTCCTGTGTACAGACTCTGACCCTGAAAAACAGGTCATGAAAAGGCAACTTTACCATGAATCACAAGCTTTGGATCGTTCAAGATTCAAAAGTTCAAATGTATTATATAATGTATATACCAGAAAGGTTTTATTGTTCTCGAGTGTGATCAATGTAGGGAAAGACCGGTCAAGGGTAGTCGCAGCCACGGTTAATATCCATGGAGAAATGTTAATAACCGATGAATAGCGGGATCCTCCAGTTACCAGCTGGAGAAACAACAGGAATACCTTTATTCACGGCGTGTAGTGCTGGAATTGCGATGTCGATTTCAACATCAAGAGATTTCAGGGCTGAGCCACCAATAGAAACCGACAAAATATCAACACCATCAGTGAATGGCTTCATCAAAAGCTTTCCAGACATCAGCAACTGAACACATCCCTCCTTCCACATCCCAACATGCTTTATACATAGCTATGTGCGCCTTTGGAGCGCCACCTCTCATGATTGACCCAGAGGAGAGACCGGGCAAAGTCACATTAGAAACGAAGGAACCAGCTACCGTTGAGGATACCTGAGTCCCATGGCCATTACGATCTCTAGGAGATAGATATTCTATAGTACTGTTGATACTTGTTTCGAGATCTGCATTAAGACCATCAATGTAGTATTTAGCTCCAATAAGCTTTTTGTTGCAATCTACAGGACTGAACTGGTCTGCAGATACACATTGTCCTTTCCATTGTTTTGGTATTGGTCCATATCCATCGTCGTCAAAGGCACCTGATTCTGGCCATATCCCTGCTCATATAATGTCGGATTTGTTAACGTTCTGCTAAAAAAAGTTGAGAACGAAACAAATTAATAGAGAGACTGATATATACCAGAGTCGATAACGCCAATAATAGCACCACTGCCCATGTTGGTCTCATGTAGAAGACCTTTAGAAGAAGGTTGGAGTTGAAAATTGGCCTAAGTAATCCCATGTCCGTGTCGTTTGCAACCCAAGTTTTCGGTTTTCCAGAAGAATAATAACTTCAGGATGCTCTAGTAGACAGAAACACAAAAAATGGCTTAGTAAAAACACATTCTGAGTTTTGGAATTTAAGAACTCATGAACAAGCGAGAAATATGTGATAAAGTACAATACTTTTCAATTTCTCTGCCTCGGCTGGTTTGAGCTTCGCTGCAAAGCCAGAAAACCCATGGTGATAACTGTAGACCAACTGACTTATTGGCTGCTTCTTCGCTGTAACACAAGATTCGAACCAGAAAATTAATTCAGTAACCACCTTAGAAGCTAAGTTATACACCCCAAAATCTTCAATGACTCTTTTACCTTCCAAGAACCGATTTCAGGATTTCAAGATGTGATTGAGTCACCAAATTAGGATCATCGTGTTTCCTTTCCCCCAAGTAAAATATAAAAACCTATTATTATCAGAAAAATAATGAACACATGAGCAATTAGAATATGTTCCTCGCAAATCTAAAACAGTTAGAGTACATACGGGGAACTCGGGGACAAATGGTGGCACAGGTTCATAATTTATGTCAGAGTCATCGTCCATAGCAGAGGTGTCTGGAGGAGCAGCCTCGGGAGAGAAGGCCAAGTTTGATGCCTGGGGAGGATCTGCCTCGTGGGGTGTTGTTCCAGAGCTAAGCTTTCCATTCATTATAAACACAAAACCAAATGCTATAGCAACAAAACACAATCTTAAAGAACTATCCATTTTCGGAGTTTTTTTCATTTTTCAAGAGAAGTGTTTGTTCTCCAAGCTTTTCTTTGTTTTATAGATAGATCTCCATTGTTTATCAGCTAAACTGATAAACAAACTTTGGCTCCAAAAAATGACAGAATAACCAATCAATACACATACTGATTGTATCTTGCAGTAAATAAACGTTGTAACTACTAACAAGCACAAAAATCAAAGCACGAAAAATGGTTGTTATTGTCATATGACAGTTAGGCACAAGCTATATTTAGATTATAATTATGATAACTATGGTTACAATAGTTACAAAAAAATATATTGAAATGTAATCATGACATATGTGTTGGACAAGAATAGCACCTAGTAAAATTAGGCAATTGATCATGGTTGGTAGGAATTTATGATTCTTCTATATTTTCAAATGATATTACAGAGAAGTTTCTATCAAAATAGTAAAAAGCATGGTTACAGAAGTGATATCTTGGATTCATAACTTAAAGGATAATGAACTGCTTATTTCATTCAGTCAGTGAAACTCTTGATCATATGAGACATACAAGAACAAACAAGCCTTATGATCATAACTTTACTAGGTTGTATACATTCTGAGAGACTAACATAGGAGATCGACCAAGATATTATGAGATCACCGAAATATTGCATATCACATTATTCTCTAAACATTTGCATTCTTACAACGTCAAAGAAGCACAAAACATCAAACACATACGATATAATACATAGGAAATTCACGCAGCACTAGACGTAGAGCGAGAGCTATTTTAAAATAAGAAGTAAGAGGAACTGAGAACGGATTGGTGATCTTTACCCAGATGACGACCACGAAGGCACTCAAGATCCATAATCTGAGAATGATCCACATACAGATTCACCTGAAAAACCAAGATGAAGAGACATGAATCTTGTGAGGGTGACCATTCAAACAGAAGGTAAAAATAATAGAGAGGAGTATCAGGCTATCAGCCCATACATTTGGACCATAACGTTCGATGAACCACTCAGCCAACTTCCCATCAGATGCTTCAAACATAGTCTTCTCTATTCCCAAACGTCCTATGACTTTAGCAATTATGTCTGCTCGAAGAGAATCTGGGTATTTGCAAACATCATCCGCGTCAATCATAATCGTGTCTGCCCCGGCTTCTAAACACCTTTCAGCCTTTCTGATCAAGAGATCTATGTCTTCAACAAACTCTGTAAAACAAGGTATTCTCACAGTAAGCTTGTAAACCTGAAACTCTCACTGCTCATCTAACAAACAACTCCGAGTTGTTTCTTCTTACCGCTTGATCGAGGTTCTGGAACAACATAGGAACCAAATGCTCTATTCCTACCAGGAATATCAGACTTGTTGAATTTCACAGCAAACATTGGTTTAGCTCTGAGACCACCACTCTTAATCAGACGCACATATCGTAGAAGAGTTTCCTCAGGAACTTCAAGAGAATTCGCATTCAGCTCAATAGTGTCAAACCCCAACTGCTTACACTCCTGCGCCAAATAAACAAAATAAACCTCACAAAGACCTAATTCTTCTCCAATACCAATCATTTCCTATGTATGTCAAAGATCTTTACCTCAACATAGTCTTTGAAAGCTGAAGGACCACTACGAAGCATATGTTCAGCCCAATCACCAGTGCTAACATACACACCATGTTCATGAGCCATTTCAATAGCTTGTTTGATGAATGATTTTGGAATCAAACTGTTGGATCCTCCCGAGAACTTTAACCCATCAACAAATTGTCCCATCGATTCAAAAATTTCCTAACACCAAAATTAACCAGCCATAAGAGCCTAATCTGCCTAAATCTCAGTCAAAGTCGTGAATCATTACAATTTTCTTTAGAAACTATCATTTTACATAGGTACCTGAAGAAGGTTCTGGCTGAGAACGGAGTAATGAGGTACCTCGCATCTCCGTAACACCGTAACGGCGAGGCTTCTGTGGACGATCTTCGTTCTCCTCGAAACTCTTCCATCTGTAGTAAGCCGCCATTTTCTCTGTTCTTCTTCTTCTCTCTGAGAATTCGAACTCTCGAAGAATCGAACATTTCCCGAAATTTTTAAAAAAGAAAAAATAAGCAAGTCGAAGAATGGAGCTGCTTCTAGAGAAATGTGCCACGTCATCACCGCCTTCTCGAATTCGTTACTCTTTTTTTCACGTAGCCACGTCATTATCAACAGCGAGACGGGATTTAAGGATAATTTTCTTTAAAGGCCCATTTCAACTTATTGGGCCATAGCGACTGGAAACGCAGATTTTGGAAATTTGAAACTTTGTCTTTTACAGCGTTTCTCAACGCAAACGTTTTCCTCTTCTTTGCTTGGCTGCTCTGTCAAGAATCCGAATATTGAAAAGGTTTTATTATTAAACATGGAATTGAAGGGAGGAATAAGAAGACAAATCTTTTCGAGGACTTGCACATTACTGAATAAACTTGTAAAAGATAAAATTTCTTGATGAAAAAGAAAGGATCACAGCTAAATTTTATGCTCTTAACATGATCTTTAGTAAAAATGCAAGAAAAGGAAACTTATGTTCAACTTTATTCTTATTCCATCCAACGAAGAGAGTCTCTTAAAGCTTAAAACTCTAATTGTCTATAAATTACAAGAACAAGTTATTACTTCAACAACAATACTTTCTGCTTCTTTGTTTGCTGGTAAGAATTTGTTTCATCGACAATGGCGAGGAATGTAGGGTTCTTCATCTGCATTTTGATCCTAGCCATGGATGTTTCAGCTGGAATTCTCGGCATTGAAGCCGAAATAGCTCAGAATAAGGTACATTACACACACCCACAAGTCGACAGGAGTTGCAGATTTTCACTAATTTGTTTGTTTTGGGGTGCAGGTGAAGCATTTGAAGATGTGGATTTTCGAGTGTAGAGACCCGAGTTACACAGCCTTCAAGTACGGTTTAGCTGCGTGCATCCTTTTGGTGTTAGCCCATGTAACAGCTAATTTTCTCGGTGGGTGTCTCTGTGTTGCCTCTAGACAAGACCTTGAAAAATCCTCTGCCAATAAACAGCTCGCTGTGGCTTCTCTGATATTCTCCTGGTAAGTCAAAACACCACATAAACAGAACAAATGTGTAATATCTACTGTGGTGAAGAAGGGGACTGGCAGAGAGATTTGATTCAAGATCCTATTTTGTGTGTTTCTCAGGATCATATTGGCGATTGCATTCTCGATGTTGATCGTAGGGACGATGGCAAACTCAAGATCAAGAAAAAACTGCGGGATATCGCACCATCGGGTTCTGTCCATAGGAGGGATCCTCTGTTTCATTCACGGACTCTTTGCTGTTGCTTATTACATCTCTGCAACTGCTTCAACACGAGAACAGACAAGCGCAGGCCACGCTTGAAAATTTTCTACCCGTTTTTTCCTTTCTATAAATTTAACCCAATGGTTAAATTTGACTTAAAGATATATACCTGGTTTTCTACACTTTGTCTGGATCTCTCATTCCTTTCTCAATGAATCTTGAAACTGGATTTACTTTTCTTGATGACTCTGGGTGCAATGGAAGATAAGGCTGTGGAATATATCCTTCTAGCCTCAGCTCTTCGAGAAGCGAATTTAGCAAAGAATAGATATGTGAAGACTCGGGATGATTTACATCGCCAGAAACAAACAAATGCGTTATTTTGTTGATTTCGATCCAACTATAACCAGGAATTTTCTGAACTTCTCTCTCTTTCATTAAACTCCGTACTTTTGTCACACTTTCCCATTCCCCCGCATTAGCATGCGCATTCGAAATCAACACATAGTAACCCGAATTCCAGGGATCCAAATCCATTAACCTTCTTGAAGCAACTTTAGCAAGTTCGACATTCTTGTGAAGCCGACAGGCTCCAAGTAATGTTCCCCAAACTCCTGCATCTGGAGGAAACGGCATGCTCTTAACAGTTTCATACGCTTCGCTTAACCGACCAGCTCGTCCAAACAGATCCACAACGCACGCGTAATGCTCCTGCTGCGGTTGGATTCCATAATCCTGAGTCATGGATCTGAAGAAGCGGACTCCTTCATCAACATCTCCAACATGACAACACAAAGATATTATCTCAAGAAATGTGATTTGATCAGGACGAATTCCGCTTTTTTCAACCATTTCATGAAATAAACAGAGGGAATCTTTTAGCTTCCCATGGTTTCCATATGCAGCAATGATGCTATTCCACGAAACAATGTTCTTTTCTTTCATCGTCTCAAACACATTCATGGCAGCTTTCAGGTTTCCACACTTAGCATACATGTCTATCAATGTGCTTTCGCTATATACATCCGAAGCAAGTGAATGCTTTATCATGAAACCGTGAATAGCTTTCCCAAAACTTTCTGAAGGTAAGTTTGCACAAGCAGAGAGAGCAGCTGAAATACTCACACAATCAAAACAGATTCCTGAAACTCCCATTTGACGGAAAATATCAATAGCCGCACTCGGATTATCGCTCTGGGCACAACGTGTGATCATTGAATTCCACGAAACAATATCCCTCTTAGAGAGTCTCCCAAAAATTTCATAAGCAAGATTCATTCTCCCACACTTAGCATACATGTCGATAACAGCACATCCAATATTGCACCTGTTATCGAAACCTTTCTTGATGATGAAACCATGAAGTTCCCTCCCAAGTTTCAATGCCAACAAACCACCAATTACCGGTAAAATAGACACCAGAGTTATCTCATTTGGACTTATTTTTACCTTAACAAGCCACCTAAACATCTCTAGAGCATCGATATTTAAGCCGTTATGCAAATACCCAGAGATCATCGCCGTGAACACTACAACATCAACTGAGTTACACTGACTGAAAATCTTTTGTGCCATAGAAACACCCCTGCACTTAAAATAGGCATCAATAAGAGCACTTGTTAAGAAGATATCTAGCGATATGCTATGTCTCATAATATAGCAATGAATTTGCCTACAATACTCAAGGTTTTCAAACTTAGAAACTGATGGAAGCAAACTAGAAAATGTGATAGCATCAGGTAAGACACCTGAAGATATCATCTCATAGAAAAAGATTAAGCTTTCTTCCATTAATCCACTCTGAACATATCCAGATATCATGCAATTCCAGGTCACAGTATCAGCACGAGACATCATCCGAAACAACTTAGACGCATCATCAAAACGACCACATTTTGAATACATAGATAAAAGTGAGTTTTTGATAGAGCCTTCAAAATCCAACCCAGAAACAACCACTAGACCATGAAGCTGAACTCCAAGATCAATCAACAACGTAGATGCACACACAGATAAAACGCAATCAAACGTGACAGCATTAGGACTAATCTGATCCATCCTCATTACACTAAACCCTTTTATAACACTTTCAAAAGCTCCACACTTTGCATACCCATTAAGCATCACATTCCATATAACACAATCTTTCTGAAGAACTCTATCAAACAATTTACCCGCCACATCGATCTTTCCATACGCAAGATAAGCTTTGATCAAAGAACTCGCTACAAACTCATTACAATCCATCCCAAGAGAAGAAACCGTATCTCGAAGAAACTCAATCCCTTTGAAATTCTTCAAAGAAACACAAGTCTTGACGAGACAAGGAAACGTAGATACATCAGGACTAACTCCAAAACAGAGCATCTTGAAGTAAAACGACAAAGCTTGATTCAATAAACCCATTCGAACAAAACTGCTGATAATCGAATTCCATGGCCTGATGCTACTACGTCGTAAATCAAGTCTGTAAAACATTTTACCACAATTCGAAAAGCTACCACACATTGCATACATCCCCAAGATCCTCTCATCGGTATAGCTATCACCGGAAAAATTGTTTACGATTAAAAAGGCGTGAACTTGCTTACCTTGTCGAAGCAGAGTTGGCTTAGAGCAAGCTTGTAAGAGTAAACTAGTTCTACGAGGGAGAGTTTCTTCGAGAAATCGAGACGAATTTCTCAGTGGAAGGGATTTTCTGTACGGAACGAAGCGCTTAGCGACTGAGGAGATAGTCATAGTCTTTGGTAAAATAGAGAAATGAGAAGTAAACATTCGAAGACTAGTTTTATCTCGTCATCGGGGACTCACTGAGTCAGCGAGTTGCCGACAACGGCGACGGTGAAGTAGCCGGGCAAAGGGCGCGGGGAATTAGGGCAGACGGAGAACAACTACAAACACGTGTGCAATGAAACTCAAACAATGGGCCTAATTAGTATTTACGGCCCACTTAAAGTGAAATCGCTGCCACATCGAACCAAGCTCGGTTTAAGGATTGGTTGTTTTCGGTTAGCCTATTTCTTTTTGATTCGGTTTATATGGTTGTAGAATTTTAATTTCGATTTTTTATATATTGTATTGTAGTTTCAAATTTAATTTGATGCTTTGTAGTTTCAATGAAAAAGTTGATCCATTTTATAATCTGAAAATTACCTAGTTTGACTCAAATTTAGAGAAAAATAACTAGATTAACACCCAAATATTGTGGTTTACTAGAATAACACAAATTTTGTGTTAAAAGACCAAATACCCATTTTATTTTCAGTTCTATTACAATAAAATAATTAAATTAAATAGAAAATTAAAAAATACAAAAAAAAATTATAAAACCAAAAAAAAACGAAAATTGAAAAAAAAAACGAAAAAAATACAAAATGAAAAAAATATATATAAATAAAAAAAAATCAAAAAAAAAAAATCAAAAAATCAAAAAAACAACTACCCATTTTATTTTCAATTCAATTAAAATAAAATAATTAACATATAATAACTAAATTAAATAAAAATTAGAAAAAAAATTACAAAACGACAAAAAAATATAAATGAAAAACAAAATACATAACAAAAAAAAATAAAAACAACAAAAAGTTTAAAACAAAAAAATAAATTAAAAAACGAAAAAAAATATCTTTATCATATATTAACAACGAGACAGCCACACATGAGCCATCTATTATAAATAAGTCTGTCGTGATAAGAATATGTCTGTCATTACCTTATTGTGCAGATTAAAATTTTATTTTCAAAAAAGTCTGTCGTGTTTAAAAAGTCTGTCATGTAGTCCATCATGAAAAGTCTGTCATCAAATATGTATAAAAAATCTGTCATAATATGAATAAAAATTAAAATCTGTCATTGCGTAAAACATATTTGTCATCACTATATGAAGTCATTCCAGCAATTTCTTTTTTCATCACTAAATCTGTCGTAATGTGACAGTTTTTTTTGAACTAATCCTAAATCTGTCGTAATGTAAATAAAATCTGTCATCACAGAAATATTTCATTTGCGATTGTATGTCAATCTAGCAATTTTTTTTTTGTATGACAAATCTGCTATCACTCGACAGTTTTTTTGTTTAAAAAATAAAAACTGTCATAACATTAAAAAAATCTGTTATCACTACTAAGTCATTCTAGTAATTATTTTCCCAAAAACAAATCTGTCACTTGATGACAGATATTTTTATGAAAATTAAAAGTCTGAGGCCACTAGGAACATAAATCTGCCACTAATTTTAATAAATCTGTCAAAGTGATGAAAGTCTGTGGTGTCATCAAAAAATAAGTCTGTAGTGGGGTAAAAAACTACAACAAAATAAATATCTGTCACAACCTGTTAAATTAAGTCTGTCAGAGATAAAAAATCTGTCACATAAAATCTGTCGTTGATAAATAAGTCTGTCATTTAAAATAAATCTGTCATAACGAATGCAGCAGACTTTTAAAAAACCAAAAAAAAATCCTATATTTTTTTGCCACGTTTTTCGAAAAATTTTAAGGGCAAAATTGACTTTTTTTTTTCCTAACAAAGAGAGCAAGGGTATTATCGTCATGAAAATAACCAGTCTAACCCCCATATTTTATGAGACATTCTAGTAATTAAAGTCATTATTTGGGTCAATCTAGTAACTTTCCCTTTTATAATTTACCCTAATAATTTGGTGTTGTCATAGACAAATTTATAAGTTTGAGTACAAAGCTGACCTCATAGATGAAACTGATGGAAACTGATTTAAGAAATGTACGAATTGACTTTATGATGTTGTTTGCTAAATCACCATGCAAGAAAAGTTAACGCATACTCAAGAAATTGCCATTTTTTGCTGAAAACGTGAAACATAAATTCAGATTCACGAATTTGAGTCTTAAGTACTCAGGAACAAAAATCATCAAGAGATAATAATTTACAAGAAAAATACAGAATTAAAATGCTTAACCAAGCTTGGCAAGAACTTCGTTCAAAGCAGAGACTGTCTCAGCATAGTACTTCTCAGCCTGCGAAGGATTCTTCTTCTTCGCCGCATAATCCAGCTGCCAAAGAATCAATCATAAACAAACTTTCGATCAGACAAATAAGAAACATGAAACAATCTTGATTATTGCTCTCAATGAGCTTAATAAATTATTGAGGCCATAATGGAAGTTAGATGAGAAACTTACATTGTCGATGGTATCGAAGAGCTTGGTGGTGAGCTCCTTGAGGGACTTCTTCTCATCCTTGGGTTTGGAGGAAATGATTGTGTTAAGGTCATAACGAAGATAAGAAGCCTTGGAACGGAGATCGTTTTGAACATATGGCCAAGCTTTCTTGTCGATCAATGGCTTCACATTTATGATATCCTTTGCAGATTCTTTGGCTCTAGCTGCAGCTTCTGTTGGTGGCAATGGCTGTAAGTAAAACCTGTCTTTCAATGCCAATGCAAAGTCTCTTGCTTGGTCTGAGTTATCTGTTCCAGCTGCTCACCAAACAAAACACAATGTTGTCACGACTCAGAAAAATTAAACAATGTTAAGTGTGTTATCTACCGTCTAATGTCATATAGAGATCGAGTTTTAAGGATGTTTATTTCGGTTATACTCAGTATAAAGAAGTAAAGAACTAAATCGAACACATGCTTGCTTATTAAGAACTTTAACCTAAATCCTGATGAAACATTCTTCCTCATACACATGCTTCAGCTTGATTAGTAAGGACTCTATAAACTCTTATACAAAAACATCCACATTTTAAGACTACAAAAATGTACCATTTGGGTAAATTAAGCAAATGTTTTTCATCTAAATAACCTAAAATCACGTTTAAATCCCTAATCACATAAGAAACGAGATTGATAATCTTACTAGCAAGATAAGTTAGTTAACTTACGAAGGCCACCGGAAGGAGGTGGAGGAGGACCAACTTTGATCGGGTTAGCATCGGCGAGGACAGCCTGAACAAAGGAGCCACCGGCCAAACCAGCAGCCACGAGCCCAATCACAGATCGACGAGAAGTTTCCTCACTCTGTTGAGCTCTGACGACAAGTCTAGACCTTTGAGCCACGGCCATTCTTCCAGGGCCATTCAGACGGCTCGAGCCATTGATCTTTAAACTTCCTTCAAGAACCGCCGGAGATGCACCGTGTAATCCACCTATCGAAGCCATTGTTTTTTTTTTTTCTTTCTCAAGACGAAAATTGAAGCGATGATTATTGGTTATGCTTATATGATTGGTTGGTTTCATTCTCCGACACAGAGCGCCTTATCTGTTACTTTAGATAAGTCAGGATATGGTTTTAGCCACTCATACAAAGCCACGTGTCATATTGTTTCTCCGTCCTAAGCCATGTGGCAAGAAAACATTTGGGCCGAATATTTTCATTTATAGGCCCAAAGTTAGCCCACACTTTTAAAATATATTTAATGATGGATAATAATTAATAGCGAAAGAAAGAAATGAGAATAACGTTATAATAATTCCAAAAGTCCGCCACATCTAATTTCAAAATCGTTCGAATTTCGAAAAAACTACAGGCTCCTGCTTCAGTCTCACACACACACACACAAAAAAATCCCCAAATTAGGAAAAAGTAAGAACCCTAGTTTCTCGAATTCGATTGAGAAGCTTTCGGTTTGATTCTCTAAGATCTTATAGAGAATCAATCGGAGATTTTAGAGGACACTGCGTTGGTAACTCGAATTTTGGGAGAAGACTCCGATTTGGGATTTTTATGCACTTGACGAGCGTAAGGAGAAAAATTTTGTAGCAATTTTAGATTCCCGGAGATGGCTTCTCGTAATCAGAACCGTCCTCCTCGCAGTCCAAACGCTGTAAGCTCCCTTTTTCATGCTTTCCCACTAAATTTCGTCGTGGCCTTTGTGTGTTCTGGAGGATGGGTTTGAGAAAAACCCTAGGACTGGTCGTTTCGAATTATTAATTTAGCATTTAGGGTTTTGTTTGTGAGCTTACCTGAAATTATTAAGGTGTTATCTTCATCGGCCTTGCATTTCCTACTCTGATGGGTTATTGATAAAGTTTAGGGATTCTGGGATTCTACTTTTCTTGTAGCTGGATTTGGGTTTCGTTATGAAATTGATAAAAAAAATCTATGGTTTTGATTGAATATCAGAAAAAGGAGGGTCTCGGTGGCATTCCATTTGACAAGCGAAGGAAAGTGGAAACGCAAGGGACTGGGAGAAGACAAGCGTTTTCGGCTGTGAACAAACAAGATGTCACGATGAACAGCGATGTGGGGAGCATAGAAGAATGTGGTAAAGTTGAGTTTACAAAAGATGAAGTATTGGCGTTGCTCAGTGAGAGAGCAAAAGCTGGAAAGTTTGATACAAAGGTAAATTAATTGAGTTACACTTGCTCTGTGCTCTTAGCATTGTAGATGTTTTCATTCAGAAGGAGTTTTGTTTTCTCTGTCCCTGCAGGCTAAGATTGAGCAAATGACGGATATTATCAAGAGGCTGAAGGTTTGTGTTAAATGGTTCCAACAAGCTGATGAAACCCATGTCCAAGAGAAGGAAAGTCTGAAGGTTTCTTTGGAATCTGCAGAACAAAAATACAACCACAAAGGTTATTTTCTTTCTTGCGATTCATTTACATGAAACAAGTTGTTCACGCCTTTGGTTGTAGTCCCTAACTTTTTGACTCTTATAGAGTTGGAGGCTAGGACAAAAGAAGAAGAGCTACAGGCTACTATATCAAATTTGAAAGAGAATGTAGTGTCACTACATGAAAAGCTTGCAAAGGAGGAGTCTTGTAAACAGGCAAGGCTTTTGGTGCCTGGTTTTTCTCATTGCAAATGTTTTCTCTTAATGCAATTCATTGACTGAGTTTTCTTTCCTCTTACTTGTTGAACACTAGGATGCCATTGAATGTCACAGAAGAGAAAAAGAATCTAGAGTTGCAGCTGAGAAAGTGCAGGCTTCTCTTGGAGAAGAACTTGATAAAGTTAAAGAAGAGAAAATGGCTGCCAAGCAGAAGGTATATAACATATGTCTTCTGTTGTCTTCTTTAGGTGTTTCATTTCTGTTTCTCGTGGTAGTTCCACATGATCTGTTAGTTACCATGGAAATTTGACTATTTTGTATTTACAGGTGACATCACTTGAGGATATGTACAAAAGGCTGCAAGAGTACAACACAAGTTTGCAACAATATAACAGCAAACTCCAGACTGATCTTGAAACAGTTCGAGCTGCACTCACACGTGCTGAAAAAGAGAAGTCAAGCATCCTGGAGAATCTTAGTACACTAAGGGGTCACAGCAAGTCGCTGCAGGATCAATTAGCTTCAAGCAGAGTAAGTTTCTCTTCTCTACCACTGGCCTTATAGTCACATGCCACTTTAATTGGCCTAATTTCTTCTTAACTTGTTTCTCTTCCTTTTTTTGTGATCAAGGTTTTGCAAGATGACGCTATAAAACAGAAGGATTCATTGCTTTTGGAAGTTACTAATCTCCGGAATGAGCTCCAACAAGTTAGGGATGACCGTGATCGCCAAGTTGTACAGTCACAGAAGCTGGCTGAGGAGATCGGGAAATACCAGGAGAATGTCGGAAAGTCATCGCAAGAGCTAGACATCTTGATAGCAAAATCAGGATCGTTGGAGGTTAGTACTTGTTTGGTTAAGTTTGGTGGATGTTAGTTTAAAGTTGCATTTTCCGCGTTCCTGTCTCATATTTAGTTTTACCCTGCAGGAGACATGTTCGTTGCAAAAGGAGCGTATAAATATGTTAGAGCAGCAATTAGCAATCGCCAGTGAAAGGCAAAAGGTACCGGGAGGATAAAGTTTATCTCAGAAGTTAATGATGTGCCTGACTATCAGATGCTCTTGATTTCAAATAGCTAATTTGATAGATATTTATAACTGTGAATACAGATGGCAGATGCATCAGTATCTCTTACTAGAACAGAGTTTGAGGAGCAGAAGCATCTACTGTGCGAACAACAAGACCGCCTTGCAGACATGGAGCATCAACTGTGTGAGGCAGAGTTATTGCGGAAGAAGCTTCATAACACTATTCTTGTATGACAATGTTTTTTCTTTTTTTACTATTATATATGTGTCTGTCTTGATATAAGCTAAGAGAAGCTGTAAATTCAGGAACTAAAAGGAAATATACGGGTCTTCTGCCGAGTGCGCCCCTTGTTACCAGACGATGGAGGACGACATGAAGCAACTGTGATAGCCTATCCTACTTCAACAGAAGCTCGAGGAAGAGGTGTTGATTTGGTTCAGAGTGGTATGACTATTGCCTGACTTGAATTACTCTTTGCTATGGATGACTATTCCCAAAGACATTAAATCCTTTTTTCCTGCCTCGTGTTATTCTATATGTCAACAGGGAACAAACATCCTTTCACCTTTGACAAAGTTTTCAATCACGAAGCTTCCCAGGAGGAAGTATTTTTTGAAATATCTCAACTAGTACAGAGTGCATTGGATGGCTATAAGGTCTTTTCTCTTCACTAATTACGTACTCTGGATATACCTGCTATGTAAAAAAATTCTAGTTACAGTAATGTTCTATAGTTGTTGTTTAGCACAGAGTGCTTGTGTAGATATAGCTCCTTCTTATGTGTTACAGTAACTCGTTTGAAGTAATGTTGGAGTATTTCGTATGTGTAGCGCAGATTGCTTGTGTAGATATAGCTCCTTCTTTTTAGTGTTAAAATTTTAAGACAGATTTTATAGTTGATGCCTCTATCTTAAATATTTTTTGGATACAGGTTTGTATCTTTGCCTACGGTCAGACAGGTTCTGGCAAGACCTACACCATGATGGGCAGGCCTGAGACGCCAGAACAGAAAGGTCTGATCCCTCGATCGCTTGAACAGATATTCCAAGCCAGTCAATCACTCGGTGCACAAGGCTGGAAGTACAAAATGCAGGTGTACTTTTCATCCCATATTGCTGATTGATTTAATTGGCATTACCTTTTTTTCTAACTTTATTTGTTGGATTTCAAATTGTTCTTTAAAATGTAGGTATCGATGTTGGAAATATATAATGAGACCATCAGAGATTTGCTCTCTACAAATCGAACAACTTCTATGGAGTTGGTGCGAGCAGACAGTGGCACCTCAGGAAAGCAATATACAATCACTCATGACGTAAATGGACACACCCACGTCAGCGACTTGACCATATTTGATGTGTGCAGCATTGGAAAGATATCCTCACTCTTGCAGCAGGCTGCTCAGAGCAGGTATTGTCTGGGAACTTTTATGATGATTTCTGGCCTCTTTTGCTAGCCTTGGATTATGAGAATATAGTAACATTCTTGTTCTTGTATGAATACATGGTAACTGAAATTGGATTTTCTTGAATGCATAATGTAACAAATAAATAACTCTCTGTCAATTGACCAAACATGGAGTGAATTCTCTTTTTGCAGGTCAGTAGGGAAGACTCAAATGAATGAGCAATCATCTAGAAGTCATTTCGTGTTTACTATGAGGATTTCAGGTGTTAATGAGGTAATAATATCTTTGCCATCTGGAGTTGGTTTCTTGCCTTGTAGACTTTCTTTCCTCCTTTGAAATCCTATTTTTAACAACACATCTCTCCTCTTTCAGAGCACTGAACAGCAGGTACAAGGTGTTCTCAACCTAATAGATCTTGCTGGAAGCGAGAGGCTATCAAAGAGTGGGGCAACTGGAGATCGATTAAAAGAGACACAGGTTTTTTTTGTTTCAAACATAATCTTTCCAAGCTTTTGGCTTCAGCATATCATTACTGATCTTTGTTCTGCACTAAAACAGGCTATAAACAAAAGTTTATCAGCTTTGAGTGATGTTATCTTTGCATTGGCTAAGAAAGAAGATCATGTTCCTTTCAGAAACTCAAAGCTAACATATCTGCTCCAGGTTTGTTTTCGTTGTTTATATTGCATGGCTACATAAATCAGTTTTCAAAACGTCATTGCAAAATTTAGTAACAATGGCCTATCTTTGAGCAGCCTTGCCTAGGAGGAGATTCGAAGACCTTGATGTTCGTAAACATTTCGCCTGACCCATCTTCCGCTGGAGAGTCTCTTTGCTCACTCCGGTTTGCTGCAAGAGTGAATGCGTGTGAAATTGGCATACCTAGGAGACAAACTTCAACAAAGCTCCTTGACTCTCGCTTAAGCTACGGCTAAAAATGTTCAGAAGATCTGCCAATTATTGATTCACAGCTCTTCTCTTGTGGGTTTCGACACATCAATCTCTTGTCTTGTAACCTCTCAAACCCCATTACTAACAATTGTTTCGGGATCCTTATGATTGTGGAGCAGCTTGCTGTCTTAGCAATGTGGCCATCTCCATGTTGTATGAGAAACATAATCTTCTGCTATTGAATGTTTAATGTATTGTTTTTCGGATTGCAAGTGTCTTATCTGATTATTATTTTCAAGGAGAAATCTGAGTTAGTGATCTATTGGTTATCATTCTGGTTCATTTGCTTACAGAACATTAGACTAAACACATAACATTAGCAGCTACTTAACTGCGACACAAAAAGTGAAGGTCTTAGCTATAGTTACATCCCCAAATTACAAAGTTTGACAAAGGGTATAAAAATAACAATGCATCCTTGCTCCAAATCTCCCTCTTACATAGAAGTCAATTCAGAGCTTCTGTTGCGAAAACAAGAAAAAGAAGATGATAAAAAGAAACTGATGATCTTGTTTAGATCTCTGTTGTTGATGATCCCACACCATGATGTCTTAACATGGCAGCTTGAAACCCATGTCCTTCCCTGCCATGTAATCAGTCCACACATCAAGAGCTCCAAAACTAGTCATAAGGACTGTGCTCAGAGACATCACTGTTCCAACCGAGAACACGATAATGGATGCTCTTCCAAACTGAGCTACAGCTTTCTGAACCAAAACAAGTCCAAAAAGCGAAGCAAGGAAGCAAATAAAGGAAAACACATAAGCTGTGTCTGTGTTTTGCATTCCTAGTAGCAGGTACTGGACTGCAGACATTGTTGCTGAGAAGAAGACCATGAAAGAAGTTGTTGCTGCTGTTATCTGCATCAATCATATATTCGAATGAAACACTTGCAAAAAATCAAATGAAAATATGAGAAAAGCTTGTTTGTTTCTTTTATAGATACCTGTGGTGGTATCCCAGATTGAAGAAGAAGAGGGCTTATAAGCATTCCACCTCCAATACCGAATATACCGCCTAATAAACCGGCGAAAAATGACATCGCCGGGAACTTTAACCGCGTGGACTTGTCCAGTCCTGTACCTTCTTGATTTTTCTGCTCATGTAAGATATAAATGTTTATTAACTGATTTGTTTTTCCTGATTTCAATCAGATTTCTTGCTTTTGCATTTTACCTGATTGTTCGGGGATTGTTCTTGGCGAGTTTCGGTTCTTGAAAGAGCCAACTTTGTGAAAATCAAAGCAAGAGGTATCTGAAGTGAAAGCAGAATCCAATACTCCACACCACAGGGCTTTATCGTTATGATTCCCTGCACATAAACATATAGAGAATCAGTCGAGTATAACAAAATCGATAAAGCCTATCGATCTATGAAGTTATATATCATTACCTTGCCATCTTTGTTTCCACGGAGAAGATAAATAACAAAGAAAGACGCCCAAACAATAACCAAGACACCAAGTTTTGTCCATGGAATCTTTGATTTCTTTCTGTTCACTTGAGCTTCAAGTAAAGGTGCTTTAAGATTGTCCTCCTCTATTTGGCCTTCTCCTTTCTCGGGCCTCTCATGTCCTTTTCCTTTCGCAATCTCAGACTCAATTTTCCAAAACTTGACTCCACTTCTACAAGTCTTTAAGCTAGACCAAGCGAGAAACACCGCGAAGAGAACTGTGATAAGCCATTCAGGCAAAACTCTGTTGCAGATAACACCAATACTCACTCCTAAAAGCATACAAGGCTCAAGAAGCAAGGCTAAGTCGTAATCAAGCAACGCTTTGCCACCAAAGAGATTGTTGATTACATTCGCAATCGATCCCCCGGTTACCATAAAAGCAGAGAAGCTTGAAGCGGTTTTTAAGTCAAGCCCTGCAACTATAGTCATGATTGGAATGAATAAACCTCCACCGCCGATTCCACCTGCGCTCGAGATTAAGGCAGCGAGGAAGCATAACACTCCGGCCACAATGATTGCTGAAGATAGCTTGAGTTCTGCAGCACTTGATTCTTTCAGAGATGTTCTCCATTGTTGGACTTTGTGAAGGAGATTATGATGAGATTGTGGTAGGTTCTCTTGATTGATTTCTTCTTCTTGATTCGCGTTGATCGCAAAAAAACAGAGAAGTAGAAGAAAAAGGACAAAAAGGGTCTTCATTTTCTTTGCCCCAAAGCTTGAAATGTTTTCTTGTTGGCTTGTGATCTAATTAACCATTGTTGTTGTTTATATTGAAGGTTTCAAAGAGTGCTAAGCACATTACATTTGCAAGTTGCTTTCGGATGAGTAGGCTGCAAGTAATCTCATTGACTTACGTACTAAACAATGATATTTAAGATAGATATTCATTGATTTACCTGCGATTTGAGGCAATATTCATAGAGAAGAACAGTTCTAAGAAGAAGGTGAAGAAACAGTTATTGTCTGAAACTGTGGAATGTGTCCTTTAAGATGAGAAGAAAATGTTATTTAAATGGTTTTGGATTTGACATGGTTAATGTTTTGTGTAATGTGTTTGAAGTTTGATCCTTAAGACAAGTCTCTTCTTTGCATTTTTTTAATTTATTAGAGAAAAAAATAGCTTTCAATTAAGAAGGGGACAAGTACGGAGCGTCTCCTCTGAACTTCATAGAACATGATGAATTCATGAAAGATCCAGGTTGGTCAAATACTATTAATTTATTCTTTCTGACATTAAAAATGATTATTTTAGAGTTAATTTGTCAAATGTTAATAGGAGCAGTAAATTAAGAAAATGGTAATGATGTCTACAGTATTTAAAATAACAATAACAATTTTTATAGTTTTTGCTACCAATCAAATTTTCATCAATATTTTAAACAATAATCATAGTTTTTATTTTAAAACCAAAATCTCTACAACAAAAGTTTATCTATAACCACAATTCTTATTTCTTACTAATCGGCCTTTATAAGGACATTAACTAAAGACATCAGACTCTCATTATGATTGGGAAACCAATCAATAGTGAAACGTTTATTATCCAAAATTCCATTATGAATCCAGAATTCTTTGTCTCCAATCCCTTCATACTCGATCCTCCTTACACGCTATCTCTTTGGATCATAATATAAAACATAAAATGCTTCAAACTTTGTTGCAGTAAAAATGAACTCACCAATAGCATGAGTAACACCAGTCAGCTCCAGTATACATTCAAAGATCGGATCACTTTGAGGAAAGCTTGGAAAAGGCAAAAGAAAGTTTTTTAGCGACCATTCTTGTTTGTCTCCATCACCTAAAACCCAAAACCTTATAGAAGAAAAACCGTAGCAAAACCATGCTAATTTTCCATGGTAGTTTAGCATAAAGTTACGAAGTGTAAGATCAGCTGGTTTTTTTATTGTGTTGAACTTTTCGTACCTTACGTCGAAGCTCATAAGGATTCTTTCAAATTCAAAAGTATCATCTACTTTAAAACGTATCTCCGCTTCATAATACACTTGCCCGTTGATGCATATACCTACTCGTCCCATGGTGGGTAGAGGTATATGTGAAGGGCTATTTTGGACCACTCTCCATGATTCTTGAGGTCCCAATGTAAAAACGAGAGGATCGTGGTGGCCTTTGTGGTAGCCTGAGATGCTCAATACTTTATACTTATCCTCAACCGGATCGTGTCCTAAACAGCTACGTATAAAGTACCTGACTCTAGGTTTGGGATCGGGTAAGGTAACATGTTGTCTCATTGAAGGATTCCAAACTACGATCTTGTAAAAATCTCCGAAACATACCAAGCCGTGGACAGATTCGGAACACGGATCGTAATAGTAACCATAATCATGTTCAGGGGATTTTATCTGACAACGGTCCACATGAAAAAGAAACAATCGATGTATATTGTATTCTTTTCATCGTTAGAGAAAGTTTCCAAAAAAAAAATAAGGATTACGTCATCCGACTTACTCGCAAGTCGCAACCACTCTCTGATTTGGCATCTGAATTTTTTTCCTTAAATAACAAAATTAGTCAAAGGTTTCGAGAATCGACGAATGAAACGAGAATTTTTATAAAAACCTGTCATTGTCAGATTCTTGATTTACTCTGTTTCTCATATTGATTTTCATTGTCTTTCATGGCTTCTACTTCAATAATGCTTTCTTCTCTTTTCTCCTTCTTCTTCTTGACTTTTTTTGTCACTTATGCTCAGCAAAACGTCACCGTTCACACAATTTGCTACTACGATGGAGGCAACTTCACATCCAACTCTTCATATTCTCTTAATCTCAACCGTCTGATCTCTTCTCTACCTGATCTAACTCCAACCATCAACGGCTTCTACAATATCTCCACCAATGGAGAAGTCAACGCCATAGCTTTATGCAGAGGAGATGTCAAACCAAATCAAGATTGCATCACTTGCATCACAACCGCTGCAAAACAGCTACTAGAAAGCTGTCCTAACATCATCGAAGCCGATATTTGGCTTGAGAAATGCATGTTTCGTTACACAAGTCGAATTATCTTAGGTCAAATGGAGCCGGTTCCTTTTTCTTACACATCAAGCAATGTTAGTGTGACAGACAAGGAAGGTTTCAGTAAGGGTTTAGGTGAGCTATTGGATTCATTGGGAGAGAAAATCGACACTGCGAATGAGACTGAAGAGATTAAGTTTGCAGCAGGAGTGAAAGGGTCTATCTACGCGTTGGCTCAGTGTACACCAGATTTGTCTGAAACAGATTGTAGAATCTGTCTTGCTCAGATATTTGCTGGAGTTCCTACTTGTTGTGATGGAAAGACAGGTGGGTGGTGGACGAATCCAAGTTGCTATTTCCGGTTTGAAGAGTATCCATTTTTCGATCTCTCGGTTATTTCAGAACAGAAACAACCTCTTTCTCCTCATAACAATAAAACCAGAAGGAGTGATCAAGGTATTACAAGTTAAGCTCTTTTCATCAAATGGATTAGGAATTTAGAATCTACCTTCTGATTATCTGTTGTTACTTGCAGGAAACAGTAAAGATCGGTCTAAAACTCTCATCTTTGCGGTGGTTCCCATTGTAACTATTGTACCAGTTCTTATGTTTCTCTTTATCTACTTAATGAGGAGGAAGAAGAAGAAGACTCTGAAGGATAATACTGAAAGTAAGTTCATGCAGCTGATTTTAGAGATAACTACTAATGATGCTAAAACCCTATTCTTCGTCTCTTTCTACCTTATTCTGAAATTTTCTGCTTGCTAACTTCGATTTGCAGATGAATTTGAGAGTACAGACTCATTGCATTTTGATTTTGAGACCATAAGAGTAGCAACAGATGATTTTTCTTTAACGAATAAGGTCGGTGAAGGTGGTTTTGGGGTTGTCTACAAGGTAAATATACTCTTTTTTGCCCTAATCTTAATCTACAGAGTAACTTTACTCACCGTGATTCACTAAGCTTGTCATCAAATTCATCAGGGTAATCTTCCAGATGGGCAAGAGATAGCTGTTAAAAGGTTATCGATACATTCAGGACAAGGCAATGCAGAGTTTAAGACAGAAGTACTCTTAATGACTAAGCTGCAACACAACAATCTTGTTAAACTCTTTGGTTTCTCCACCAAAGAATCTGAAAGACTTCTTGTATATGAGTTTATCCCAAATACAAGTCTTGATCGGTTCTTGTTCGGTATATATATAGTCTCTCATTCGATCTTTTCTCCTTTCGATGATTAGCTTTTCTCTGTTTCATGTTTTCCTCTGCGAATGAATGTAGATCCTATCAAACAGAAGCAACTAGACTGGGAAAAACGGTACAATATCATCGTAGGAATTTCCCGGGGATTGCTTTACCTACACGAAGGCTCAGAGTTTCCGATAATCCACCGTGATCTCAAATCCTCCAATGTGCTTTTAGATGAACAAATGCTACCTAAGATCTCAGATTTTGGAATGGCAAGACAATTCGATTTCGATAGAACTCAAGCAATAACAAGAAGAGTTGTTGGAACTTAGTAAGTCTAGCTACTCAAAACTAACACAATAATCAATCTCAATCTCTCATCTTTCTTGTTTATGCAGTGGATACATGGCTCCAGAGTATGCAATGCACGGAAGATTCTCAGTGAAAACAGATGTTTATAGTTTTGGAGTTCTTGTTCTTGAGATCATTACAGGTAAAAGAAACAGTGGATTGGGGCTTGGTGAAGGAACAGATCTCCCAACTTTTGTAAGTAAACAACAAGAAACACACAACCACAGACAAACACACAAGAATAATTCTCAATCTCTCATCTTTTTGTTGCAGGCTTGGCAAAATTGGATTGAAGGAACATCAATGGAACTAATAGATCATGTTCTTCTGAAATCTTACAACAAGAAACAATCAATGCAATGCTTAGAAATTGCTCTGTCTTGTGTTCAAGAGAATCCTACAAAAAGACCAACAATGGATTCAGTTGTTTCAATGCTTAGCTCTGAGTCTGAATCTCTCCAGCTCCCGAAGCCATCGCAGCCTGGCTTCTTCAGAAGATCAGCGTCGTTTTCGATTTCTTTAAACGATGTTTCTCTCACAGATTTGTCTGCGCGTTAAGTGTTGCAGTCACACAAAGTTTCAATTTTTAAACCCTAAAATTTAGTTTTATAGGAATGTTCTATTCTGCGAAAGTTTAATGCTTTTTTGTTGGGAGAAAAATAAAGTTTCGAGCTTTAGATACGAACCCAGTTCCATAACTTCTTCTTCTCCATTACTGTGACTATGGCGGCTACTCTTCGGAGATTTGCCTACAATTCTATACGTAATTCACTTCAAGGAATCTTCTTGAACAAACCCTTTATCCGGAAACAGCTTCTTCTTCCTTGGAGTTCTCGAAATTTATCTTTTTGCTCAGATTATCAGTTTGGCTCTGCGACTGCTGAGGTTTACTCAAATGCAGGTGAGTGTAGTTGCGGATTTCTAGCTTATTTCGACTTCTGTTGGAATTTAGTTCGATGAATTTATTATTGGGAACACCAAGTGTTTGTGGAAATGCCTCTGAGGAAACGCCTAGTAGCCGTGTATTACAATAGATTCAGATTAATTGGTGTATGAGATATGGTTCTGCTTCATATATTAAAGGTTTAGACTTTACAGCCTGATGAGCAGACAAAGCTAGCTAAAACTTAAGAGCATAAAAATATTGAAGTAAGACCTTCCATTATTTTGTTGCAGTTGTAGCTTTTTACTTTTTAACAAGGCTAAATATGTATAGACTGAGGCATATCTGCATCTTACTCTTTATGCTGCTACTATGTTAAGGATCCTAATATCAAGATGTTGAAACTTACTGTAAGTCCTGCGATTGATTGTTGTCAAGGGTCTGATACCGGTGGTGGTATTGTCAGTGAAGGGTTTCTAAGATGGAGAAATGGAGGAGGGAAATGTCATAGCTCGGCTCAGATTGATTCCTCGGCTTTGGTTGAGTTTGGTGCAGTGGTTCATGAAAAAGCGGTCTTAGGTGCAGAGGTTCATGTAGGATCTGGTACTGTAATTGGACCATCAGTTCAAATCGGTCCTTCCACAAGAATCGGGTAACATTTCTTGTACATGTTTCGAATAGACCATTGTTGTGTTCAGCAACTTTATAAGATTCTATTTGCTGAGTTTATTTTGTTCTATACAGCTATAATGTTTCAATCAGCAACAGTAGTATTGGTGATTCTTGTGTTGTCCACAATGGAGTCTGCATAGGTCAAGATGGTATGAACTAAACTCACATAAATTATCCGAGATCATGTAGGATTAATGAGGTTTTGATTTGAGATTCGGTCTTTTCATTGTTGGTTTATTTTTCTTTCAGGCTTTGGTTTTTACGTTGATGAACATGGAAACATGGTGAAGAAGCCTCAAGTAAGAAATCTCTTGTGCATTTTTTAATCTTATTCAACAATTTGCGGTCCAAAAAGTAATTTCTCATTGTGAATCCTTAGAAATTAAACGTAAGTATAGGGAGTCGTGTTGAAATTGGAGCAAATACTTGCATAGATCGAGGCAGGTAACAGATCTGCATCTATTGACTAACACTTCCATCAGTGCGCACTATGTTTGGTTTCATTAGCTGTGTATGACAAATTATGCAGCTGGAGAGATACCGTAATCGAAGATGATACTAAGATAGACAACTTAGTGCAGGTTTGGTCTCTTTTTGTTTTTGGCCTTTTTAAATTGAGAAAACAGTATCATACTTGTTTTTTTGCAGATAGGTCACAATGTGATCATAGGAAAGTGTTGCTTGCTTTGTGGTCAAGTAGGCATCGCTGGTTCAGTAACGTACAAATCTGAACCCTTTTTGGTTCCATTGAAAGAAACAATTTTTAAGTTTCTCAAAGACTCAAAAAGTCAAAAAACAAATCTGCAGAATTGGTGACTATGTGGCTTTGGGAGGACGAGCTGCTGTTCGAGATCATGTCTCCATTGTATCCAAGGTATAATAGGCGTCAACCGGTTTCAAAAATGTGGTTCTTGATGTGGTTCGGTTCACAAAAACTTCTTTCTTTTTGTGTTTAGGTTCGACTTGCAGCTAATAGTTGTGTTACTAAAAACATCACTGAGCCAGGAGATTTTGGAGGCTTTCCTGCTGTAAGCAATCTCTTAAGTTATATCGCTTTTTTGTTTCCCAAGTTTCATCTAGATCTTAAATGTTGCTTCAACATTTCATCAAGAATTAGTAAAAACATTAACTCGAATTCATCAGTATCCAACAAACACAGTGCTGAAAAATGGCTTCCTAGTAATTGGTATAAAATTTTGTTCTGACTTCAGGTCCGGATTCACGAATGGAGAAAGCAGATTGTTCGAGCTCAGATTGCGAACAAGAGAAAAACTTGAATCGATGTATTTGATTTTGAGTTTTTACTAATTTTGCTTCATGTTTTACAGATATCAATGTAGCAACACAAAGCTTTAAAAACAGTTTAAACAACAATCACGTCAAGATTCGTGTACAAGTGAAGATTGCAACTAAACAGTGATTTGGACTTACAAAGTAAAAAACCAATAATATCTATTAATAAATGTATCATGTACTTTAATTTCCTTTCTCGTGCTAATTTTAGAAAACTTTGTGACAAAATTCCAAAAAATTTTACCCGATATTTGTGGGTATCATCCAACGGTCTCTATACTGTCTGAATTGCTTTTGCCATACTAACATTTTAAAAAAAGAAAAGAAAAGGACAGTGAAAAGAGAAGACAGAAATTAGTTTTGTTTAATATGTCTTCGATGATGGACTTGTTTTGTTTTTTACGTCGAGACCAAGTAACTGGTTTAAAACTTCAAAGTTAATAGTACAACAAAGTGTAAATTATTAAGACTATACAATATAATTGTCTCTATCTATATGTATATATAGAAAGTTGGATATTTATTTTTATTTTGGTAGTATTATTAGTATGGGACTATGCGTGGGTTGCATTATTCAAAATTTTCAAATGTATTTTTGTGAGACAGCTTCTCTGGCTACAATTCATTAGTATGAGTCACTCCCTTAATCAATTAATCAAATGTTTTTTTCTTATATATTCTCTAATCTCTTTCATATATTACGGTCCACCATGTTTCTTTTTTCCTTTTATTGCATGGTTTTATGGTGGCCACTAATATTGTTTAATTTTTTCTTTCTGATATATAAGAATTAGTTACGCATGAACCAAGTATAAGAATTCGACAAGTACGATATTATTAGTGAATGATTAATTTTACTGAAAGTGATTAAACCAACTATTCGATATATATCACATGTTACTTAATTTTTAATAATATCGGGGCCTACGTATATATTTTTGTATTTTCTGTGAAATTTTGATTTACGGTTTAGGGTTACTGTCACTCTGTCAGGTCTATCGTAACTTTGATTAAAGCTTGGAACGTACAAGCTTGCACTAGATGCATCCTAGCTAGTTTTTCTACTGACATAATAAGACAAAATCATAACAATCAATTTTATTTTTATCATAGTCTATGAGAATGCTAAATAAACAAAACAAACGAGACTCTTTGCAAGTAACGTATGAATATCACAAACTAAATAATCAACTTAATTAGTTGGTAGTGAAATTTATCACAAACCTCTTAATAGACATAGTTTTAGATGTTTTTTTCACAGTCAAAACATTTTAGATTCATTAAGCTGGTAGTGAAATTTATATTTAAACTTAATTAGACTCAAACTCCTCAGTAAGAGGTAAATATTGCCACCAATGAATCTGATCGAAATACCAAATCTAAGCCACAAAGACTCTGTTGTCTGTTCTTCCTTGACAACCTTGCACAAACTTAAACTTTCGTACATTCTTATACGCTTAAATTTCTACAAATTGCAGTATCAACAAATAGTATATAAAAAAGAAAACAAATAGTGTACACATCGACTAAAACACTAATAAGCCGTCAAATTTACCCCTAAAGTATTCTAACCGACCCTTTGCGTATCAAATTAGGAGATGGAATTATACGAGGAGATAATGTCTAGCAGCACAATTTTCATTTTATATTTCACAATTCCTTTTGAAAATATCTAACGTCCAAAGATCTTCTAGATAATAGATAGTATTAATTATTTTATTTTATTCTTCTCAAATATTCTCATCGACACTCGATAACATATTTCATTATTTGTGATTTTTATTTTAAAAACTAGGACTCCGGACCCCCGCGATGTCGCGGGGGAAAATATTTCAAAAATCGTTAAAAAAAATATCAAACGAAAATTAATAATAACGATGGTAGATGATTAAATGTTATAACGATTTATAAAATAAACTTAAAGTTGCAATTTTTCATGAAATAAACTAAATGTTGCAATGGTTCAACTAAACGGCTGCAATCATTTTATGAAAAATTACGATAAAAAAATGCAACCGTAAAAAATATTTACTCGGATTGCAACTTTCTCAAAAAAAATAACCTAAAATAATTATTTTAGTTTAAAAAGAAATAAATGAAATGTTGCGATATATCAAAAGTTGTAGCGGTTCGTCAAGTTCGTCAAATAAACTAAAGATTACAATGGTTCGTAAAACAAAACCAAAAATTGCAATGATTGGTCAAATAAACCAAATGTTTCAACGGTTCAATTAAACGATTACAATCTCATTTAAATGCATTTTGGTAATTAAAAATTAAAAATATTAATTTATGAAAATTATACCGAGAGACGCGACGGTAGATAATTAGATGTTATAGCAATTTGTAAAATAAACCAAAGGTTGCAATTGTTCGTGAAATACAAAATAAAATATATAAATCAAAGGTTGCAATCGTTCGTGAAATAAACTAAATATATAAATCAAAGGTTACAATTGTTTGTGATATAAACTAAAGGTTGCAATTGTTCGTGAAATAAACTAAATATTGCAATAATTCGAATAAAAGGTTGCAACTGTTTATGAAGAGGTACAATAAAAAGAAGCAACCGCAGAAGATATTCGGATTGCAATTTTCTAAAAAACAGACCCGTAAAATATAAATTTTAGTTTAAAAATTAAAAATATATCCATATGTAAACTATGAAATAAACCAATTTTATATGTAGTTTATTGGTTTACGTAAAAAGAAATTCAATAAAACAACATGACCGTACAAAAATAACTGTAAGAAAAACAACCATAAATATTTAAACGAAAGATTGCAATAAAAAGACACAACCGTTCAGATGTACAAATCGTATTTATTGGAAACGACATAACCGTAAAAAAATAACCGATTAAAACGAAAATTACGATAAAAAGACGCAACCAAAATAACCGTAAAAAATAACCGATTTAAACGAAAGGTTGCGATAAAAAGACGCAACCGTTCAGATGTGCAAATGGTATTTATTAGATTGCTATTATATATAGATTTGTCATATAGCTCGAGTCCTCTCCCTGTCGCCTATGTGTCTCATTTTAATTTTGTTTTTCGGTTTGTTTTGTTTTTCGCCCATGAGACTCCAAAATTAACGAAAAAATATCTTGGAAAGTGGTAAATTCTATTTTTATACATGCAAAGATAACTTTTGACAGACTTCGGTAATTCTTTTTCTCAGTTGCTTTTTGTAAATGTGTTCGTATTTCTTAGGCGAGGTGGAAAACAATGAAAATCATATTGAAACAAAAAAAAATTGCTTATATTTTAGAGGCTATCGTTTTTGGTCATTCCTTTTTGGAACAAACTAATTTCCTTTTCTGGAAAAAACGAACTTATTAGGCAGCAAACAGATGAAATATGATACTTGACAACATCTTAAATTGAAAGTTTTGCAATTATTGTTGATGTGCTTGTTGCTATAGTTTTGAGGGTGATTAGGTATATAGTCTATTTTGATAATTTAATCTTTTCAAGTAACTAGCACTTTCAATATTGTAGATAGTTTTATCCTTAAATTAATGGAAATTAAGAGGGTTTTTCTTACATAAATTTATATGTGTTACACAATCTTACATAACTTGGTTAATGTTGTAGACATCGGTCATCTTTTCTCGATTGAAGTTATTAAATATTCCCGAAATAGTAAATTTCCATAAGTTTCTGGAAGTATTCCGATAAGATTTCAGAAATAACAAATATTTTGAAATTTAGAACATTGTTGTTTAAAAACTTTTCAGCCATAACTTGAAATTTTCCCGGTATGTAAATATGTTTCTAGTATTATAACAAAAGAGCAATTAGTTTTCAGAAATTTAACAAGTGTTTTAAGAAAACTTATTTTAGAGATTTTAACAAGTATTAAAAAACTTTCACATGTTTTTCGTGTAAAAACATTTTCATCTTGTCATTGTTAATGGCAACTTCATAAAAAAAGTATATATTATCTAAGCCTTAAATTGTGAAATTTAAATGATAATTCCAACTCATGACATAAACTCTAATCGCCAGTTTAAACCTCGTCGATGTTAATTCCCGTGACAAGTTATACAATCGATGAAAAAGAATGAATGAATTCTTTTATGGATAAAAAGTAATAAAAAAATAGTTGTTTAAGAACAAAATGCAAAGATATGTTATCTCCAGATTCCTCTGTTTTCTACATGTTTTTTTCAATTGGATATAAAATATTTGTGATTGACTTATTATTAATCTTAGTTTTTCGCATACTTAAATGAAAGACTCACAAAAATGCCCATTTTTCAATACCCCTTTTCAAAAATGTCCCCTTTGGCTGTCCATTTTTAAAAATACCCCTTTTTATGTACAAAATGACTAAATTACCCTTCCTTTAATAAAAGATATAACAAATATATAAAGAAATATAACAAAATTAGGTCCACAAAATACAAAATATTTTTTGGCGGGAAAAGTGATCCCGCAATTTTTCCCGCCAAAACACTTGTAAAAACCTTTAAAATACCTTGTAAAATTTTTCCGTAAAAATTTTTCCCGCCAAAATTTTTTTTTGCGGGAAGAGTGATTCCGCAATTTTTTTGGCGATAAATTTTTGGCGGGAAAAATTTACAATGTATTTTAAAGGTTTTTTACAGGGTATTTATAAGGTTTTACAATGTATTTTAAAAGGTTTTACAACGTATTTATAAGATATTATAAGATTTTACAAGCTATTTTATAAGGTTTTACAAGTTATAAGGTTTTACAAGTTTTTTATAAGGTTTTACAAGTTATAAATACCTTATTAAACCTTATAAGTACCTTGTAAAACCTTTTAAAATACATTGTAAAACCTTACAAAACACTTGTAAATACTCTGTAAAACCTTTAAAATACCTTGTAAATTTTTCCCGCCAAAAATTTTCTCGCCAAAAAAATTTCGCCAAAAAAATTGCGGAATCACTTTTCCCGCAAAAAAAAATTTTTGGCGGGAAAAATTTTTACGGGAAAATTTTACAAGGTATTTTAAAGGTTTTTACCAGTGTTTTGGCGGGAAAATTGCGGGATCACTTTTCCCGCCAAAAAATATTTTGTATTTTGTGGACCTAATTTTGTTTCAAATAAGGGTAAAATGGTCATTAAAAATTAAAAGAGGGCAAACTTAAAAATGGACTCTCAAAGGGGGCATTTTTGAAAAGGGGTTTTGAAAAAGGGGCATTTTTAACAATTTCTCTACTTAAATACATAAACTCATAAGCTCATCAATAATTTGACAATTTTGAAATTACAACATGGAATGATGGAAATTTTTAAAAAGGGAAGAAAATTGAGAGTCAAATGAAAAAAAAAAAAAAAGAGCGCCTTCAGAAGCAAGCAGATCATAAAATAGGGAAGTTAGTTGCTCACCTTAATGATTCTTCATCGCATATTCCTCAAATGATCACCAAGCTTCTTCTTTTTTTATATTATAACCAAAAATTCTTATTCTTATTCTTAATCACGTTCATTGATAAATCCTAACACTGATTAGATAGATTCTAAATAATAATATTGTTCGTAACAAACAAACAAAATACTATCTATACGTGGACAATTCAATCCACAGCATATGAGAACTATCATGAAACTTGTTACCAAAAAAAAGAACTATGATGGAATTGTGATATTTAAAATCTCCAAAAAAAAAAAAAAGCATACCTAACTTAAACCAATATTAGAATTTTCTGATGAATGGTACGCAACAATTTTTCTTACAAAAATAATAGTTAATGTTCATTTGATTAAAATCTATGAATCTTGTAACTATAGTACGTACTCTTCTTTCATATTTTTGTTTACTCAGATTTACATTTCGAGAACAAAACACATTTCTAATTTTTATTCATTTTAACATTATTATGTAAAAAATATTTTGAACTATCGTAGAGAGCAAGACAACACCAAATCAAACACATACACACAAATAACACAAATGACAAAACCAAAACGATCGTGACTCATAATATAACCAACTTTAGATCAAAGGGTTTTAATGATAACATATTCATCCATCTGCCATTCCACTAAGTTAGATCAACTAATCATAAATTAAACATCTCTGAATCATGATTATGAATAAGTAATCACTCATTAGTCTATCTCTTCTCTCTCTCTCGTGCGTGTGAGTTGTGACTTATCTTTGAGAAATAAAGTAAAATAAAAATAGACACCAACCCATTTAGAAAAAATGGGCAACATAAATAAAAAGTAAAAGGCTCTCTCTCCTTTCTTTCAGTTTCGACATTCCCCAGAATCTCTCTTCCCTTTTTGTCTCCAACCAAAACAAAACCTTAATCACCTTTCTTCTTCTTTAAACAGAGAGCATAACAGAGACGTTCGTTCCCACTCTGTCTTAATCTCCTCTGTTTCAATTCTAAAGTAGGTTTATTTCATATTTCTTTATATTTCCTCTCTAGTTTCTATATAAACATGTTGATGATCATGTCTCTGTTCTATCTCTGTTTGTGTTCCAGTTGAAGATCGATGGAAACCGGTGGAACAATTCCGGGTCAAGAAATCGGATCCGGGTTTCAAAAACCCGTTAACCCAGATGGGTTTGTGACGATCGATGTCGAAAGTTTCTCTAATGTCATCCACAAAGACTTCTCTTCTTCTAGTCCAAGAATTACTGTAAGTTTTTAAAAATCCAAACTTTGCTTAATCATCAAGAACACCACAATTTCTATTTTTTCATTATTTGTTTCTATTTTCTTCTCTGTTTTTTTTTGTCTTTTGGGTATTTAATTTTGGTGAGAATCATGGAAGAAACGCCCATATCCTTTAACTACTCTTAAGTCGTCGATTCAATTTTTCTACCCCATTTTTTTCGTCTCATTTAATATTTTCAAGTAAAGAAATAAAGTAAAAAAACCCTAATTAAAAGTTGACTTTTAATGTGTCAGTTATTTTTTATAAATATTTTTTCGTGTTATAAAACTATTTATCATTTCACGGATTATTTCTCTGTTTTCCTTTCTGGTATTTGGCATTTGGCATTTGGCATGAAGCTTCTTCTAGATATTTTAATTTCTCTTTTGGAGTGTTTCTAGTGAAACTCAATTATTGAGATATTTATTACATTATGATATGAACTTAGAAACTGAAATAAATAATGAAAATAAAAGTTGCAGAGAAATGTATCGAGGAAAGGGTCTCCAAGAAGCAACAACGAGAGAAAACTCCATTTTGACGCAAATGGTAATGACAAGGAGACCTCATTTCCTCAGTCCCCACTTAGAGGTAAAAATCATTATTCTTCAATATCATCAATTCATAATTTAATATATACGTCATATTCTTGATTTATTATTGCCTTTAATACAGTCTATTAAATTACTACTCTCTATTAGACATTAAATTAACATTTTAATTTCACGTATATAGACAAATGCATTTTTCTACTGCCCATGAGTGTACATTTTGTTTCTTTGCTTATTTTTTGGTACCATATAATTGTAATAGTATATCTAATGGCCCCTAGCAGATTCTTGAAATAAATTCGGTTTGGGCTTATCTGTGACTGTGAGTTATAAAAAAATCTTAAACTTAAACAAAAATAAGGTGGGTGTTTACGATGAAAACAAATACTATATTTCAGATTTTTGATAATGCAATTCGAATTTCTTGAGGTTAGATATTTTTTCTCTCCGTGAATTGTTTTTGGATATTTTTATCTCTAATGCAAGAAGGTTTGGTTTGCCTAATCTAAGTAAATTGTTGAATATTATTATTAACCCTTATTATATAAATTCCATTGATCTTTTCGTCTTTGAAAGGTAGACATTAGAAGTGTTAGGTAGGTTTTAGTTTATGTGACCAACCCATGCGTTTTTAGCTGTAAACCTTAACTTTAGGTTGATACATTTATATATTTTGAAAACTTCATCAATTCTCCTTTTTAAAAATAAAATTTTCATTCACCTTACTAACTAACTTTTCACGTCATGCTTGCAATCTATGTACGACACATAACACATTGTGTGTAGAATATATACAAGTCAACTAATAGGAAAAACTCTAATGTTTATCTCTTTCTTGTCTTTATTTTGAATTATATAATTTATATTAGAAGTTATTTGTGTTAGCTACATTAGCTTTATGCATACCACAAACAAACCAATATTCCAACTTTTTAATTCTCCTGCGCCAGTGCAGCGCATGCACTCGTACTGTTATTAAATTTGGCATACAATAACTAATGACTACGTTATGATTCAATTTATATTGTCTTGTCAAATAAAGAAAAAGAATCATTATTCTTTGTTATTAATTAAAGCTTGTGGTATGGCAATTGATGAGTTGCAGGATCAAGCACGCCGGAAAAGCCTAGCATCGTAGGGCCCACAGAACATGCAGGCACGGCCACAACCGCTGCCACCGCTGTTTTAGCCTCGCCGCTTCATCAGATCACCGTTACTACGGCTGCCACGGCCGCCGGAAATATGATCACCGATCAAAACAGAGAAAGAAGATTCGGTTTTTCGAGGAAATCGAGTTTTAAACGCTCTCATACTTCTTGGATGCTTGATCCGAAGAAAATCGTCCTCTTCTTTGCAACTTTGTAAGTAATTATCACACTTCCTTTAATCTCATCATCATAGTATATCTATTTAATTAACCTCAAAAGATATGTTAACTTGAGGAAAACAAAAGGATTTACAAATATAGAACTCAAAATGCATAGATAGATCTATAAATTATTACTTGAAAATACATCTTTTATATATAGTAGTAATTATATATCTTGTTAATTTCAATTTTTGGATTGCATATAGATCAATTAATTTATTTATTTTTGTCATTTTTACATCATTATTAGATATTAGAAGTCTGAATTAGTCAATGTATTGAATTATATTATAAGTCGTGTACGACATGCTACTGAAAATCAGAATTATCTATCACAATTTAATACGTAAAGTTGTTTTTGACGAATATATTGATGTAGGGTTAAATTTTTCTATGACAGGTCAAGCATGGGATCAATCTTGTTAATCATATTCACACTCTCGATCAGCAAGTCCAATCCCGGAGATATGCCTTTAGACTAATAGTAAACACAAGAAGAGCATTATATATAACGCATATATATATCATCGACCGACCTAAGTTTGTGGCCATAGAACATGCCACAGTCTCACCGACCTACATTTGAGGAGATGTATCAGACAGAAGAACATTACAAAAAAAAATGAAGAGGGTAAGGTTGTGATAATAGTTTTATTTCGTATGATTTTTTTTTAATGAAAAAAAAAAGAAAACTGTAAGAGAGAGAAAGTGGGAAGTGGGCACACACGAGATCATATGGGAGATTGGAAAAGAAAGCTTAAGACAAGAGTTTATGACTATTGTGACAAAGACAGAGAATCTTCTCTTCTGTTCTTTTAAATTCTTTTTTTTTCCTCTGTTTTTTAATTTTTTTTATCGAGTAATGTGTTCTGATTTCCTTGTATGTCTTCTTTACGTGTGTACATATCAATTGTGGTGACTGGTGAGCAATTTTTAGCTTTTGTTTGGTTTATCTTTTCCAAATATACAGAGAAATTCTGAGTCGTGTTACAGACTTACAGTATGTTCAGTTTACACCGTTCGTGTTATATAATGTTCTAATAAACCTCCTTATTCCAATATTTGAAATGTGATATTTATTGACTAGCAAAAAAAAAATTGTTTTACAAATGCGGAAAAACGAAAAGAACAAATGAAATTGAACTTTCATTAAAACAGAGCAAAATGAAAGTTTATGGTTCCTAATCACCTTGTCGATAGAGTGGGCAAGGTGAAGAGGAGAATGAAATGGGTGGTGGTGCCTCCTCCCATTTATCTCCCTCCACAAATGATAAATGAATGCTTGAAAGTGTTGATGGAGTAGAACAATCATGTTGAAACTTGTGATTTTATATCAATGATTGGAGCGTATAGGACTAGTTTGGAAGACTAGACGGAGTAGAACATAATCATGTTGAAGCTTGTGTTCTAAAAAGTATTGGACTTGCTGATCATATAAGACCAGTAGGGTGTGATTGTGCATCTTATCAATTTAGCGCATACCAAAGTCTAAACTGCAAAAGTGTAAGGACATGCATAAAACAAGTGATGTCTATTTTAATCATTTTGATATAAGTCAAATAGACCAATATTTTTTGTTTGAATTTCTTGAAGATATTCCTTGCCCCATCTAATCAGTTTTCTGTTACGAGAGCTAATAGTTTCTAAATCATTTCCTTTAACTAGAAATAGCCCCGCGCGATGCGCGGGTTTATATATTAGAAAATAGTATATGAGTTTGTGTAAAAATAATTATCAATTTAAGATTTTTTTTAATGTTTTTATTTATGTGGTTGATGATGAGACCGGTTGATGATACGTGTATTTTTCTAATTGTTTCTAAATTGTAATTGTGCTTAAATTCATATTATTAGATATTATTGTTGTTTTTTACTTTCATCGTGACTAATATCATTGATTTGATTTTTTTTAAAAAAATTTCTATGTTATCTCGATTGTTGTAATTAATTATAAAATTAAAAATTATTGTGATTTATTCTCTTATATATATCAGATACTTTATCTTTTTAATTATTTTCATTGTGTGTTTTCATAGCACCTAATTTTTTTTTTCAACCACATTGACTATTTCTTCTTTCACATTTTTAATATACCAAATGTTGTTGGAAATCTATGGATATTATCATCCATTTCTGATATCTATATGCATATTTTTATTTTAACAACTCTTCATTTTAGATTTTTGCTTATTTTGATTTTTATTTTGTTGCAGCTGTTTCTAGTATGGTAATCTTGTTAATCTTGAAGTACTCGAGTTTGGAGATGAATCATGTAGAAAAGAACATCAAAAGTGAAGATTAACACCAAAAAGAACATCAAACTTCCAATGAATACATTTTTTCTTCTAATCTCCAACGCTTCTGAATTTTACTAATATACAATGAATTTTTCTAAATTTTTAATCGGTAACATAAATTTTGTACTTTACTACTAACAAATATATTTAGAAATTATAAATAAATATTCTATTTTAAAAATAAATTACTACTTATTCTAAGTAAAATGAAATTATCTTACTTTATATTTAACCAATATCTTTTCATATTTTTAAATATTTTTATCGGTAACAGAATTTTCGACTTTAACACTATTTAAAAAAAAATTTAAATATTTATTTTTCTTTAAAAGTAAATCATTTCTTATTTTGTGTAAAATTGAAATGTGTACTTGTATATTTATCTTATTTTTTATCACATATTTTTGTGTGTTGTATTATATTACTTTTTATTTATATTAAATCCTGTTATTGTTTATGAACAAATATTTTCTTTTATTAAAAGACGATGATATAAAAGTTATATATGAATTAATTTTTTTTTAATGTTTCTTGTTTTAAAAAATAAATTATGTGGAACTTGTATAAAGTAATATATATAGTTTATATTTTGTTATAAACCAAAATGATTTAAGTGGTAATTTGGTCCGGGATGCATTCACTAAATGCATAAGCTAATGGGTTCGAATCTTTTTAGTGACATTTTGTACATATTAAAAATTTATGATGACGTGTATGCTGATGTGTCACTGATGTGGACACCCTAAGAGGAGAGAAAACTCTCCTATTATATATATAGATTTCAGAAAAACTTCCCCATTTTAAGACTCATCCAGTCATTAATAAATAACTGGAGTTATATTACTATCACATTTTCCCATATACAGGTACTTAAGATTTGATTTTAGCTTCTTTTTTTTTTTGAAAAACTAAAAGTTCAAACTTGGGTAATATATGGACCATCTTAACAAATAGAACCTACACAAGCGTGGAAGAATAAATGTCACCACATGCTATTCACCTAAGCTATTACCATATTTAGGTTTCTTCAAGTGTTTTGATCATAAAGTACATCACCCCACTATCATAGGTTAAATTGTAGAACGTATTACGTGCCAATATACATTATGTAATTCATTTTGAATTTTGCTGCTATCAACCAAAGTTGACACAATTTTAAAAGTTTGATGTTGAAATTTTGCCAAACAACTCCCATAAAAGTTGTGGTGTAGGTTTTTAAACTATCAAAAATGGGGTATGCGATTGAGGCAATAGATAATTGCAGTTTCTTTTCGGTCACAACTGAGTTGCACATAAATCGGAGTTTTATAAGAAAAATTATTTATATAGTACATTTTAGTCGCTTTGTTATTTTCTCTTGGATTTTTGTTTCAGTTGTTTTTGAATACTCTTGAATTTTTGTTTCAAATGTTATAACTAGAGACGGAATAGAAAAGTTTTTTAACTGCCAAACAATAATAAAGATATATGGTCTAAGTCTTTACTTATGTTAAAGACTGTCTCCACTCTCCAACAACAAATTAATGGTTGGTGAAGCAAAAAAATATTTCCAAGGAGGAACGAGGCCATGATAAAATAAGTTGTTTTGCCCATCGTCTTGACGTATATCATGTCATTTTCTTCTTCCGAAAAGAGTTGTGCAAAAAGTTAGCTAGTGCAGTCTTTAATTTTTGGTGGAGCTCTAACTCAAACTCCAAAAATATGCTCGCTGCAAATAATATGCCAAAAAGTAGGCAAAAGATATTATGATACATAATAAGCTAAAATCCATAAAAATTTATTGCATATGATTGTTAATAGTTTTGTGGGGGAAAAAAGAAAACTCTTTCAATTCTCTCCAACTTGGGCTAGCATATAAATAATGAAATAATTGTATTGATTTTAGTTTTGACCCAATAATAAGGTCATGTAAAAATGTGACAATGGGCTTTTACAAAAGAGTTTATCAATTTATATTTTCTATATATATTCTTCCACCTTAATTTTAAATCCTCTTTGAATAATAATCATTTAGTAGCTTTTAGAGATGCGAGGCATTGCTCGATTGCTTTGTCTCTCATCGTAAAGCCTCAAAACCACTGCCGCAGTTTCCTCAATTGCACTCTCTGTCACTTCTGCAAAACAAAACAAATCATAAAAAAATTAAAAACTTTGTCAAATTCTCTTAAATTCTTTGATCACATATACATAGTCTTACTCTTACCAATCACTGGCCAAGTCGGATTCTCAGCAAAGATTCTCTTGGCAAGCTCAAGCTCTTCTTTAACAGAACCTAACTCAGAGTACTTAGTCTTAAAACTCGAGCCAAGTCCAAGACTCTTGGCTCTAGCCTCCCTTATCCCTTGCAACACGACCGGATTAATCATTAAACCAAAAACCTTTCTCGGGTCGATCTCAAACAGAGTCTTGGGAAGATCAACACCGTTCACAATCGGTACGTTAGAGACTTTGTAACCCTTTTGAGCTAAGTAAGTCGAGAGTGGTGTCTTCCCTGTTCTAGAAACACCTACAAGAACAATGTCAGCTTTTTCAAGATTCTCCGGCAAGGCACCGTCGTCGTGTTTGATAGTGAATTCGATTGCTTCGATTCTTTTGAAGTAGTCTTCGTTAAGAGATGAGTTTGTTATGCCACGTGAAAGACCGGAAGGATTAGTGCCTAAGTGAGAAGAGATTGAGTCTGTGATTGGTCCAAGAATGTCTAGTGATGGGATTTTCCATAGCTTGCAAGCTCTCATGGTTGCTTCTGCCATTGATGGATCAGCTAAAGTGTAGATTACCATTGCTCCTTCTCTTGCTGCTTGCTTTATGATCTCCATTAACTTCTCTCCATCTTCAATCTTCAAATAAATCAAATATTCATCAACCAAATTGATTCAATTCCGGTTTTCTATAAACCAGAATCAATTAATCCCGGTTAAAAGAAAACAGAAATAACTTTCGGTCCGTTGAACAATTGAGGGAATCTTAAATTGTAAACCGGATTTGTTTCGGTTTAGCTAAAATTGAAGTATTGATATGAGAGAGGTGAATGACGAGAATACCCCTGAGAAGAGATGTGTATTAACGGGACAACCACGGTCGACCAAGCAATAATCGAATTGGCCCAAAGCAGCGTTAACGGCGTGTTCCGCCGTCCAACCAGTTCCGTCAGAGACTATGTAAATCGACTTCGCTGCCGTCATATCCGTCTGATTATCTCCGTTACTTGATGATGACACGTCACTGTCAAGTGTCGAAATATCAGAACGACTTGAACTTTCGATCGGACGCATCGGAGCGGTCGGACTGTTTGACTCATTATTAATCGTACGGTCCAGCTTCGCGCCGGACCTTAAGCTTCGTGCTCTGTTCCAACGGTTTAGCTGTGAGCTGAATTTCCGAGGCTTCCGTTCGGAGCCAGGTTCAGAGGTGTTTAATGAAACAGAATCCGAACCTGCAGGTTTGGAATTTGGGTTTAGATTGGATGAGATCGGTGGTGGACGTCCCTGCAACTTCATCGCCGAGAGAAAAGCCATTTCTTTTTTTTTCTCTTTTTGTTTATAATTATTTATCGTGACCCTTCGTCTAATATCTTCTGAAATTTAATAACAAAAAAAACAAATGCCAAATATTTTTCATAGTTTTTTTTTTCAGCGGGGTGCAAATTCATCGGTTTAATTTTCAAAGTATATATTTGTTTTTTTTTCTTTTTTATCTGATAGAGTTTTATTTTTTTTCCTATTGCAATGTACTATACAAAATTAAATAAATTTCAAGTTTTTTTCCGATATAACTTTAAAATTGGTTCTCTAATCGATTTTGATTGAATTTGATAATGAGGAAGAAAATATTTATTAAGAAAAAAATGAACAATAAATTATATGAAAAAATCAAACCAAAAAAACAATTCAAATAAATCATAAAAACCTAAAATAAATAAAAATTTAGGTGCAATGGATTAATAGAGATGATTAAGGAACCTAGGAAGGCCAACTTTAAAACCAAGCTTCTTAACATCTTCTTGAACTTGTTGTCTGAATTCTCTGAAGCTGAAATTTCTATAAGCAGGACAATCACTTGAACACTCTATAACGGCGTCGTATGATGGACACATAAAATACGCCGTTGAGAATCTCTCCACCGTTGGATTCGTCATCACACGGTGTTCCACACTTTTGTACATGCCATTGCTCCATGCCTAACAAAACATACATACAAATCAAAATTCAATAATCTTAAGACATTGCCACAATACCGAGCATTTTGTTTAAATCCTATACCAAACCATACAAAAAACAACTGATCGTATTCATACCCCAAAACTATTTTGTAAGCTCCGGATAATGATAATGGTAATGGTAGAATGGCATAATAAAAGCTTAATTACCTGAAATAAGTCACCTATATTGATAATGAGAGCTCTAGGATTAGGTTTGACGGCGATCCATCTATCGTCTTTGATGAGTTGGAGTCCTCCGACTTGATCTTGATATAAGATTGTGAGGAAATCACTGTCCGTATGTGGCATTAACCCGTACACTTCTGATGGTTTGGGACATGGTGGATATCGGTTCATCCTTAGATAACATGTATTCCTCACACAGTTTTCTTTGAAGAAACTAGATTTTTGTCCTGATTTTTCTGCAAGAACCTCTGCCAACATATATGCTAGAGCTTCCGATTCCGAAGCAAACTTCTCCATTGTTGAGCTGTAATACAAAAGGTAGAAAACTTATTATATGCTCAGTAATATAATTTAGGGTGAAATAATAACAGCTCACAGAAAGTCATATTAATTTCTCAGTTGAAAGAGAAAAAACGTAGTGCAGTTCACATGTAACTGTGTAAGGAGGTGAAATGGTAGGAAGATTGAGAGACATGTGAGGTATAATGGAGAAGGGTCCCAATAGACTAAAACAAGGACGAGAAGAAAAGGAAAATTGGGTATATATGAATCAGGTTGGGAGGAGATGTACGTGTACGTGTCCAATCCATTGTTTCTCTTTGATAGAGATATCTCCTACCTGTTAGGAACATGGGACCCTTTTCCAATTTTGAGTCTTCTATATTATTTCTCTTTTTGGATACATGCACTGTATATATATATATGCATTTTAAATGATGAACTCTACCAAGTACTCACTTGTCCGGTTGGATCAGCTCGGTCTAGAAGTATCGGATGACTATACCACAATTCGGTCAATCTAATATATAAATACCAGACGGTAATGAAGAGGTTATATATGTTTTGTTTTTGTTTCAAAGAGATTATGGATCAAAAGTTCAAAAATATTTGATAAAAAACTAAATCCATATTGTATATTGATATATATAGAGGTTCCAAAGTAGTCTAGAAGCATTCAATTTTAAAATAAGAAAATTGAAGTTTATTTCTAGTTATTATAAATAAAATATTGGACATTTTCAACTGAAAGTTTAGCAAAATGATCATATACAGTATATGTTTTAGCCTTTTTAGGCATTTGCATTCAAGTGTTTCTAAAGATTTATAACCGATTATTTCTACAGATTCTGAATCTCTGATCTATCTATTATCTCATATGGAATATTAGTTTTTTTTTTTTTGGCAATTTAGATTTTGATGAACTTTCCGCATACATTTTCTAATATATATATATGTCAATATGTGCGTATATATATATATATATATATATATATATTGAATTGGGATGTTATAATTAATAAATTTGTAGATTTTATTGTCAAATTGCCACTAATAGTGACTTATCAAGAGAACGCCAACTACGAAAAGTAGGAACGGTATGTGGTCACACATACACACACACACACAAGCACCAATGCATAAGATGTGTAAGACAACCACATGCATGCAAATACATGTACATGTAAGAATGTGTACAGATTCCAGCAAACATTAGTACACACTGATCACAAGATAACATATATACGTGTGTATTTATATAAAGCTAGCCTGGCATAGTGGCATGTTCGAGTACTTCTTCTTCCCTTCCATTATCCCTCTTTGCTAAACAGACAGTTTTCTCGTGACTCTTCTTTCTTTTCTCACCATATATATATAGTACTGTAATCTACATTATACACAAGTGTATGTGTACTGTGTTTCTAGATCGTACCTAGCTAAGTAGTTGGAGAGTAAATTTACATTTTTAAGATAGAATTCTTATTGGAACACATATAAGAAGAAAGTTAAAAAAACATAATTTCACATGGACAAACAAAAACGTTATAACTAAGATATTGTAAATTTTAAATGGGTAGTTGGTTTCAGTTATGTAGGCGTGTTAAAAGTTTAAAAAATTTCAGATGTAAACGTTTTTGTATAGTGCAATGTTTGTATATTATTTTAAACAACTTACGTCTTCGGAACCATGAGTTGGTTAATTTTTTCAAAAATATAAAAACCTCGAGTTGGTTAATGGTTTTTAGATTATTTCTCCCGACAAAAACCGACCAAATCAGTTGGTCTGAATACCATTTTTTTGTTGAGAAATTCTGAGAACTATTTGTAGATAAAAAATAATGATTTTTGGATTTATAAAAATATTAAATGTTTAATGTCATAAAAAATCATTATGCGCCGCAGCTAATGCAAAATAATCTAGGAAGTCCATTTTCTAGCATGTTAAAGAATTTGAAGTTGACGAAGTGCCTACGAGTACGAAGAACCAAAGAATAAATACCAGCATTAGAGGTAACTATACCCTTTAACCAAAAAAAAAAACATTAAAGCTAGCTAGAGTTTAATTAAGTAACTATCTTAAGATTGTTCTTTAACAAAAAAAATATACGTTAAGATTGTTTCTTATATATTTTCCAAATACACATGGTATACTACTTTATTATTGTTTGAAAAGTCTTAATCATTGTATTTCACATGCCAACTTGCTATCTCGAAATTAGACGTATTCCAAAATAGTATTAAAAATGGAAAACATAGAAACGCATGAAAGATCGAGAATAAATCTTTGACCCAATGCCCAACAACTTTATTTTCTAGGATTAAATTTTATTATTTAAAAGTATCCAAATGTATTAATTAAATATAAATGACAACACTCTATTATATGCTTCAAAACCACCATATACTGAATTAAAAACTGTGTTTGTCTCCCATGTCTAATCGTTGAATAGTTAATGAATTTTCTCTGCAAATTGTGTTACTTATAGTCAAACACTTGACAATAATTAAGATTATAATTACATCATTATAATTAAACTATTAATCCTCAAAACACCAGTGTTTATAAGGTAACTGAAACAGAAAAAGGTTTTAAGTATATAGTATTTTAATTTCCGTCTTGTTATTGGGATTATTCTCCACATTTTTTCCAAAGAAATAGTAACATATTAAATAATAATTAATAAGTAAACTAATTACTAGAAAAACTTTAATAATTGATATATTTGTGTACCTGAGAGTAGTAAAGTCCTTGTTGTTAGAAATATCTGTCATGGGAACATGAAAAGCTTCTGACCAAGAAAGCTGCCGGAGACAAGTGGCTGACGGCGTTCCCCACCGGTAACTCCCAGCGGAGAATTTCTCCGACTTACTTTTCTTGTCAAAAGGCTCTCTAAAGACCCTAATTTGTTCTTGTCTCATCTTCTCCAACACATCCATTGATATTCCATGGTTTATTACTTGAAAAAATCCCCACTCCCTCGAAGCTCTCGCAATCTCTTCCTTACATTTCTCTCTCTCCTTCTCGGCTCCATGGATGAGACGGCTGACGTCAATCACAGGAAGCTCCACCTCCTCGACGACGGCCGTGACGGAGAAGCTAAAGGGTATTTCAGGAACATCTCTTTCGGTGTTTGTGATCTGATTATACAAAAGGGTTTTGTATATTTCGTTGAATGGTGGATCCATGAGAATCACTAAGAGATATCTATAAAGAAGAAGAAAAGAGTGAGAGTAGAGAGAATTATGGGAAGTGAAGGTTAGCAAAATACGTGTTGTGATGAGAGACACAATTCTTACATTTATATACACGTCCACCTATATGCATATGCATATGTACATACGAGTGCAATTTGTTTACATTTTGATTTTTAGTATACCATGTTGACAATTAAAAAAAAACAGATATTTGAAAGAAAAATATATTGTTTGCCGCCCATTAATCAGGAGTATTAATTAATGAGTAGTCATCATTTGTATATTCATCACATTCTTTTGCAACGTCTAAATAAGTATTTGGGGTTAAAAAAAAACTAGCAACTAATTATTAGTTGAAAATTGGAGAGTTTACTAGTCAAAGTAAAGTTTTACTCTTAAGATCGTAATATTATTTTATTTTTGATTCTCTAAGATCAAAATTCATCTGTCAAATATTTGTAGCAGATGTAGAATTTAAATACAAAAAGATCTTAGAAAAATGCGATATGGGTAATGTGTATATTTTGTATATCTATGGTGGACAAGATACGATAATGGGGATTAATGAATTTGGCATTATTAGAATAAATTAAGTTGGGGCTGTCTTGGAGAACATGATGTTGTTTCATTTTCAAAGGTTTGAATATTTGTTTGTCTGAACACCGTCCTTCGTTTCTCATGTTTTTCACTTTCTTCTATGTTGTACTGTTCTATTTCTTAATTATTGTAATCAATTATTAATCAGAAACTAATCAGTACTGTTTCCTTCGCTGGATAAGACCCACTAATATAAAAACATTATGTTGCATTGTTTAATGTTTAGTACGTATTAGTTTAAAAAGCAGTAGTAAATAAGAGAACTTATGGAAGCAAGAGAAGCTTGGGGTCCAAGAAAAAGAAAAACGACGACTTTTACTTTGCTTTCTAATTATATGCACTGTCAATGTTTACGGTTACATAATTATTTATTTGTAGGTGTATTGTTTCACTGAGGTAATTAGTTATTTATATGAATTAGCTATTTCCCCAACGAAAGCATCAGATTTTTACCATATTAGTAGTAACCCATCTATATATATCCATATTTGACGCTATACAAATCCGAAACCAAACAACATATTTTTTTTTTGCGTCTCTGTCATTGACAAACGCAGTGAATGCATGCATGGTATTATTACAAAAATAAAATTTTAAATGCATTTAAAATTTTCGATTTTAATAACTTACATAGGCTTTTTAGACCCTTAATTGTTTCTTATGAAAACACATCGGCTTTTGGATAAAGATAGGACGCACCGACCAATTGTATACTAAAAGAAGTGTAAATCTACTAATGGTAAATTGGTAATGGATAACTCAAATCGTTACAGATCATTATTCTCGTAAATATTACTTTGCTAACATTTATCTAAATGTTGCTTTGTTTTCAACTTCACGAAAAAAAAGAAGAAGGTAAAAGAGGTAATATCGTGTGCGGAACATCAACATGTTCTGGCTCTGCTCCAAATGTTGTGACACAATATTGAATACATATTTCACTTGTTTTTATCTTTTTAAAAAATTATTCGTAACACACATGAATTAATTTTTTATATAGGAAAAAACATCGTCACTCCTATGTTTAACAAGTTATTTTAAATTCTTATAATGAAATCTACTATTACAGCTTTACCAAAAAAAAATATAATATTAAAGTATCTGCAGTTCGTGGCTAACATAGTACTTTTAAATGGTAATAGAAATTTTTTAAGACTTTTAAAATATCAATTTGAGATTTTATTCAGAATCTTCGAGGTCATAAAAGTAAAAAATAAATAAAGAGTTTTTGAGCAATTTGCTGCTTGCATCCATTCAGTACCAAAAGGAAACGTGCCTAAGCTAAGGGATTACCGACGCTTTTTTTTCTTCTTAGACGTTATTTATCCAAATAGAAAAACATGGATAATTGAAGAAAATAGTGATTCAGGCCTTAAATGGTAACATAAGAAAAACATTCAGCCGGATTCAGCTAGATTCAGCAATTCCGCAGTCACTATTTGCATAAAATTAAATTCAGCTGAATTCAGCCAGATTCAACAGTTTTTTCAGCACCAACAGATACGTAGATACGTTTATAACTGGTAAAAATTTGGATAATAACGAACACATAAGTCGAATTAAAATATTTTGGATATCAAAAATTACACATCAAATTTATATTTTTAAAATAAGTCAGATTATACACATACGATATATAAATAATTCAGATACATAATATATCACTACCACAATATACAAGAGACGAATTCATATTCGGATAACTATAGATATTTTTGGATAATTTTAATAATTTTTAGATAATTTAAAATTTTGTAAAAACAACATAAAATAAACAATTAGATAATCTATATTAAATTACCATGTTAATTTCTTAAATTAAATTATCAATATTGCTTTACAAAGCTTTTCATTAATTATCTATATATTTCATAGTTTAAAAATTAAATATGGAAGAATAACTAAATTAATTAGTATAACAGTTAATTAGATCATTAGATAATTTTATCTATTTTATTTTGATATTTTTTTAATTATTTTATTAATATTCATAATTATTTGACGATATTTTTCAGTTAAAGTCTTTATTATTTTGATAGATTCTACCAAAAATCACAAAAACATTCAGCTAGATTCAGCGGTTACCATTTGGAAATGTAAAAATTCAGCTAGATTCAGCTAAAAATCACTAAAAATTCAGCCAAATTCAGCAATTCAGCCGGATTCAGCTAGATTCCTCGGTTACCATTTAGACCCTCAAGAAAGTGATGATATAACTAGCTAATAGGAAGGCACTTTGCTGATTAGTCCACATATCATATTCAGTATAATTACTTACCTGACTTTAGTTTTAATTTGTGGGTTCTTTTCTCTCGCGCGCTTTATCCTAATCCTACAATATCTTTTTTTTGTGAACTTTATATAATGTATAGTATGACGTGTAGCTACGTCACAAACACTATTGGGTGTATTTTTTTACTTAACAACACTATATATTATTAGGTGTAACTTTTTTTTTTTTGATAAATACTATTAGGTGTAATTATGCATTTATTTGAGATAAGGGTGTAAAAATGACCAAATGTATCATATATGAGCTAGCTAAGCTTAATTAGCTGAGTTCATTTATTATATGAACTTATAGTTATATACTTATGTGTATTAAGTGAAACTCACATTATCTAATTGGTGAGCTAGCTAATTTGATGTCAAAAAAACAAAAAAAAATGTTGAGCTAATACTATAAATCTAATAATAAACATAATCCAAGAAATTAACTTCAATAAGGACCTTAGATTCACCTGCTTTAAAGTGTTATTAGATACTTACTTGGATGATTAATTAACAATTACAAAGAAAACTAACTTTTATCACAAATTACAAAAGATCAAGTTTGCGGATAATTATTTTCATTTCACAAATGCTTTCGATTTTTCTCCTTTGATAAACTTCGCTTAATTAGAACGGGTGTGTGTGCATGTATCACATTCTTACTTACTCTTACGATCATGATTAACTTATACTCTCCTTTTTTTGTCAACGAATAAACACGTTGTTTGAGTTTGACTGAACAAGACTATATATCAGGATTCTTTTGCTATAATAAATAACAAAATTTGCTAAATTTGATAAAATACAAATTAGGGTTACTGATGCAAACTGCCAAAAAAAATTAAAAGCAAATGCTATATTAATTTTAATTTTCTAACACATTACTGATGCAAGCAAATTTTTTAGAAAGGGCCACTTGAAATTATTTTTAATTGGTTTTGTCGACAGATTTTTTTTTCTTTTCAAATTGACAACTCTAGAGAGTCAATAGTGAGTGGGCCATCCGGATTCGATCTCGCGACTTCTCAACTGGGCCGCCAATTAATAATGTAATGTTTTTTTAGCTTTCATTTAATGTTTTAAAATTAATTGATATGTTCCTTTTTTTAAAATATAATTTGATTATTGATAGGAGTATATTCTTAGCATATAAAATTACAAAGTGTCATAAATAAAACATCATCGCAAAGATCAATTTTCTAGTTACACCGGCTATTAATTAGTATCAACTTATATAATACAACTAGTGGCTTATAAAAACTAAATACATTTAAAATATTTTTGTTTGTTTATAATAATTTCTTGGTGTCCTCATCGTAATTCACATAATAAGAGAGACAACCAATTGTATATGTAGCAATTTATCGCAGTTTCAACTAAAATTTGGACTGAAAATATATGTTGTGTCTACAAAAATAATATTATGTATTTACAACATTTATTAATTTTTGAAATTATATAAACATTTAGTAAAATAATAACATCTAAATTTTCCTTAAAAAAATGTAAAAGTGGACATCTCATTTTGAAAACAAAACAGATGATTGATGACATATCTAAATTAAATATGTTTTCACATTGGTTGAATTATTTTTGATTAGATAATTAATAATATTTCAAAAATAAAAAAAAATTAAATAATTTCTTAATCTATGTGTCAAAATCGTAAATCTCATATCCCCTTATTATTAAAAGGGAAGTACAAATTGAAAAATAGTCAAATTTAGCCTCAATTTCAATTTCAATTTTGGATTTTGTTCTTTGCTAATCAAAATCGACGAGGGTAATTTGGTCATAAAGTTTCATTAAACTTTCTGAGATCCGCGTGTTAATACTCGGGTGGGTTAGGAGTAATTAACTCTTAATCACATAGTCAAGTTCTTAATCGGGTTTAGCATCCACATAAGTCAATCTAAGCCGTTCAAATTATTTTGTAAATTTAGTTCATTTTTGGTATCTAAATATGAGCATATTCGATCATAATAACTGCAAATTCGATGTTATCTCTCATAATAACTGCAAATTCGATCATATATTGCCTAATCCCAAAAAAATCGTAATTACTATCTCTCATAAATATAATCCTAACCATAACCAACTCTACAATATTCATCATTTATCTAAATATAGCCAATCATTCAATTCTATTCCAAATTCGAATATATTTTGTTAATAGTATCTTTGATTTTATGCTTTGTCTCCAAGA